ACTATTTTTTCTTTAAGTTGGAGTCTCATTCTGTTGCCCAGGCTGGAGTGCAGTGGCACAATCATGGCTCCCTGTAGCCGCAACATCCTGAGCTCAGATGATTCTTTCGTCTCCGCCTCACGAATACTTGGGACTACAGCTAATTTTTTGGTTTTTTTAGAGATGTCTTGCTACGTTGCATTGGCTGGTCTTGAACTCCTGGGCTCAAGCAATCCCCTTGCCTCAGCCTCCCAAAGTTCTGGGATTATAGGTGTGAGCCACCACACCTAGCACATACCATATTATGATGCACTCACTTTATTTCTACTTATTTAGAGGGAGACACTCCCACACATTTGCACGAGGAAGTAGATACAGGGGTGCCACTCGCAATGCTGAGTATAATATTGAAATATTGAGAAAACGTAAATGTCTATCAACGGCAGAGTAGAAAAATAAAATGTGGTATATTCCTACAAAGGAATACTATATAGTGGCTAAAAGAATCACACACACACATAAATATGTATATATATAATATATATAGTTACAGGTCTTGAAGCTGTGTTAAATTAAAAAAGCAAGTGTAGAGTGATAGACTATACTGATTATATAATTGTGTAACTACATAGAATAATATATAACTTATCTAAATTTAAAGCACACAACTATTATATATTATGCTTGATTCATGTGTTTATATAAAAGTGTACAAATGAACAAGAGGGACGTAAACGTGTAAGGAGAAACTTCAACTTTATCTGTACTTCTTTTCTTATATACAAATTTAAAATGTTGAAGCAAAGATGGCAAAATGGTAACAAGTATAAATTTTGGTTGGTGAGTACATGAGTGGTTAAATTATATTTTATACTCTTCAATTTTTCCAGTTGAAAAATTGGATGCTTTTGATTTCTCAAAATAAAAAGAGTAGTGAGAACAAGACATTACAGAGGATTTATTCTGGAAGAAATATTCTGAATTGACAAGGAGAGTAGTAGGCCACACTCCAACCCTGTGGAGTTCTCAGCACTCGGTGTCAACTCTCCAATACTGTTTTCTCCTGGGGAGTACGGACAGCCAGGAGACAGCAGCAAAACCAACAACCTGGGGCCTGTTTTTCAGTGTCTGCATCCTGGCAGATCTGCTGACTTGCTTATGTTTGCTTGTAGTCGAAAGTCCTCAGACTGTCACCAGGCAGGTGAAATGTATGCGAATAGAGAGCTCACACCATGCCACTGTAATCACCAACTGCGAGGACAGCAGCTGCTGTGCCACCTTCGGGGATGGAACGTCTGTTATTGCAAAGCCACAGGGAACATACCAGGTAGGCCTTGGAAAGAGGAACGCTGAAGATCAATGTCCATTCGGCTAGGAAAATCCACTCCTCTGGGCCAGTGAAGAGGCCTGCAGGGTCCACTGCTGTTGCTTCTTTGCTCACTCGATCTTACATTTATCCGACTCTTGTTATTCACCTTCTTTGTACAGTCCATTTCAGAAAAACATTACCCCACTGGTTTTACAAAGCTTTGGTAATTTTGCTTCAAGGTCACAAACCAGAATGCATTTGTTGAGGATCTCTTTCGTGCCAGGCACGTGTTGGATGCTCTGTGACGATCTGGCCTGGGCCTGACAGACCAGCTTCTCCTTCTGTCACTTCGACCCTCAGTCTTGCTCTCCACCCTCCCCACCTCCAGTCATCTCTACTCTATGCAGTGTCTCTGCAGGCCGGGAGGGAGCACATGGTCTGTGTATGCCTGGGAGCTCAGTTCTTCCAGCCGAAGTAAGGCTCTTATCTTGGAAGGTCGAGGAAGAATACTGTCAGCACCTCCCCCTACCTTTCTGGGTTTCCCTGCTACAGTCAGCCATCCATTGTCAGCCTGCAGTCCCTTTCGTCTTGGAAGGGTTTGCCTTTGCTTTTCCCCAGCTGGGGAAGGGGTCCAAGAGCCAAGATATTACTCAGAATGTCCACAAGATGCGGAGAGCATAAAGCCGATGATCATGGAGAAAGCTCTCACTGACAATCATCTGTTACTGTGAAAGTTGCTGAAACCAGTGTATATCCCTCCTCTCTCTCCCAGTAATATCGTCTCCCTCTTCATCCAGTGTAGGTTATTACAGGACAAGGAAGGTGCTGCAAGTGAGAGATCAAAGAAAACATAGGTGTAAATGTTCATGTACTTGGATTGGGCAATGGTTTCTTAGATATGATACAAAAGCACAAGCTTTATCAAAATCAAAAAAAGTTTGTGATTCAAAGGACACACCAAAAAGGCAAAAAGATAAACTACAGAATAGAAGATATTATTTACAAATAATAGAGCTAATAATAGTCTGGTGTACAGAACATCCTGCCACCCAGAGCTTATGCAACTCAAGAATAAAGACTAATAACCCAATTTAAAAGTAAGCAAAAGAAGCCCATGCATTTTTAGTAGTGCCAAGTGTGTTTACCTCAGTTAAAATATATTGGATTGGAAGTAAGAGGGCATAGGACAATTACTTAGAAGAGATATTAAAATGAGTAAGTGAACTCTGAGGACACAGGAGAAGTTACATCCTAGCTATTCAGTTTGCATTCTTATCAAGTAGTTCTGCCCAAAGTTTAAGGCCTCCCTTGGAAAGTGTTTTCATCCTAGAAACACAGTTTGTGACTAGGATCTGGTAATAGTCTTTCACTTAAGATGATTTTTCTAGTCTCTCAATTCGAACAAGAAAGTTTTGAAAATTTATCTTTCTGTTACCCTTTCAGGTGTTACCTCCAAACACAGGCTCTCTTTATATTGACAAGGACTGTTCGGCTATATATTGCCATGAATCAAGTAGCGACATATACCATCCCTTCCAAAAGCGTGAGCAGCTGAGAGCCAGCAGGTACATCATGAGGCACACTTCAGAGGTCGTCTGTGAGGTCCTGGATCCTGAGGGAAACACCTTTCAGGTGAAGTGCATGTGTAGTGCGGAGACAGAGCCCAGCATTGCTTTTGAGATATTTCACACTAGGCAGCTTCCGTGTCGATTTTTACCTTGGTTGCCTTGGGATTAGTTATCCACTTACTGTCAATATTTTGAACAAGCAGTAATAAATGCAATATATTTTTTTGAATTCTTAAGTGTACTTCCATGGAGAATGGCAAGTCAGAAATTGCTATAATAGAAATGTTAAAGTTAAAGAAATAAGTAGAACAGAAAAAAAAAAAAGAAACCTGAGCAGACATCAAAAAATAATGCCAGTCCAAAGAATGACATGAAAATAGTCTGTACCCAGGTTAAAGTGAGAGCAAACACAAGGCAGCAGGCAGGTTTGTATGAATAAGCAAAGAGGGCATGTGAGAGGCATCCAGCAGGGCTGAGGGTGGGGAGGTGGGAAGTCTGGAGATGGGCCCAGTTAGTCTATGGCAGCGCTCTGTCTTCTGCTTCCCCGTCTTCCAACACCACAACTATCTGCTCACCTCTAGGCTAGGCATTAGCAAACCATGGCCGCTTGCTTATATGACCTAAAAATGGTTTTGTACATTTTTTAATGGTTTTAAAAAAGAAGATTTCATGACATGTAATAATGGTAAGAAATTCAAATCATTGTTGTTATATAAAATCTTATTGGAACATGACTATCTATGCTCACTTGTATACATATTATCTATGGCTACTTCACCATAGTGGCGGAGTTGAGTAGTTGTCACAGAGAATGTATAGCCTGCAAACTCTAAAATACTTATCTGGCCCTTGACAGAAAGTTTTGCCAAATCCTGCTCTAGGCCTTTCTTTTTTTTTTTTCCATTTCTCAACAGTAGAATTTCATCTATCAGCTAATGTGTATAAAGTTATTTCTTAGATTTGGAGTTAAACCACAGAATTCCTAACTTTGTTTTGGTATGCAGACAAGTTCTAATCCAGTTTATTTTTTCTCTGCTAAGTAACCGAGACTCTTTAAAGCACAAGTTCAAGCTGACAAATTTCAATTTACAGCAAATTGAAGTAGAAACTTAAAGCTCAAAACCCTCCTGAAATGCCTGGGTTGTCCAAGCCAAGCAGTTTTCTAGGCACTAATGTTTCTCTTGGTCATCCCTTTCACTGGTCTTTCAGCCTGAACCTAACTTTTTCCTGGAGAGACCCATGCCCTATCTAGACAGTAATAAAGGACTAGAACATTTTTTTCTCGTATTAATGCTGAATCTATTTCTCTGTATATTCTACCCAAACCCATGAGTCCTAATTTCGTACTTGAAATCCCCAAGAATAAGCTTCTTCCATGTGATGGCCCTTTCAACATTTCAAGACAACTATCTCATGAGTACCCAGCCCTCCTTGTGTAAATTCCCAGGTCCTTAAACCAATCCCACAGTAGAAGGTTTTGAATACCCATCCCATCCTACTCACTTTCATCTGAATGTGTTCAAGTTTGTTTTCCCATTCTAGATGTGGTTTATAAGAAGAGCTGTGCTGCTAGATTTTTACTTGTATTAGTACAGTCTACACCTAGTGAACAAGACTTGTAAATAATCATCTCTGATTTGCCGAGTACATCAGAACATCAACTGCTCTCTCAAATTAGATCAGCAGAAATGTAAGCATTATGACTTTTTTTTCTCCTCCTAGTTGCTTATATACTTTGTCCTGTAGGTCATGGCTGATGGTAGTGTATCAACTATATTACCTGAAAAAAAAATAGAAGATGATTTAGACGTAAAAAATGAGGGTTATGAGAGTTTATCATCTAGTCACCTTCAAAAGAATCATCAGCAAATCTATGGTGAACATGTCCCCAGGTAAAAACAAAATGATATCATGACTTTTACTTTCCATTCTAAGTTCAAGAAGTATTTTAATTGAAAACTTTAAGTAATTAGATTTTTATTTCTTTAAATAGGTTTTTTGTTATCTATGCTGATGGATCAGGGGTGGAGCTTCTTCGAGACAATGACATAGAAGAGTGCCTATCTTTGGCATATGGAGAATCAACCACCGTTGTTCTCCAAGAGCCAGTGCAAGAGCAGCCAGGTAGAGGACCCATGCTGCCTGGAACGCGCCATGTCCCTTCGCCAACTCTCGCTCTCCTTACTATTCAGTCCATCCTTATTAAGCCATCTTCTTACGTATTCCACTTTGCTCACTTTGTTGCTTTACTTTCTGTCTGGTCTTGTCAACCTGTTTATATAGCCTTGAATTTATGTACCTGTCAAGATAAATCTGCACATTCACGTGTGTAAACTGTTAGAATATGTAATCTTCTCCTATATAAGCAATTTGTGTCTGTGTTTAGGTAGGTACCAAGCTTCCTCTTAGAGTTCATTTCATCTTGGTAGGAAAAAAAAAGAACAATGAGATACCTGTTGTAAGTTTATTTCTTGTCTTTTGAAGATGTTGCCTTGATGAAATTGAGTACAATAAGAAAGTACATTTGACGTGTGAGTTATAATGCCAACCTGAAATTTATGATAAGTTCTGTCGGCTCTGTGCATTGGCTATTTATATTATTCCCCTCGATTTCAAAGAACTTTATGTGTAGCTAGAGGTTAGAGATACATATTGCTTTAGGTAAGAGCCATCCAATATATATAATAAGTACATTTAAATAAAGATATAACCCTACATGGTATTTGTGTACAAAACCTATGTGCTGTGCCTGGGTTTGTGTGTGTGTTCGTTTTCATCTTTTCTCTGTTTGCTGAGATGTGTGTGAGTATTTTTGAATATGCCTGCATCTCTGTCCCATTAGAGCTTTTAGTGTGTCCGTGCACGTGTGCATGATTCTAGTATACCTTGCTCTGTGTGAATATAGAGAGTAGGGGCTCTGACTGGCTATGCCATGCATGTGCGGAGCTGTGTATGTATAATCATTGATCTCAGATTGTTCCATTAGTCAGTCATTTAACTAGCATCTACTTAGGAACCCACCATGAGCCAAACACTGGCTGGGAATTAGGAATACAGGATGAATTAAAAGAACAAGCACAGACCCTGCTCCCACCGGCTTAAAGTTCAATGGGAGACATTCATGAGGCAGTCACGCAAATAACTGTATGATTGTAAGCTGGGATAAGACCTATGAAAGAAAGGAACGTGGTTCTGTGAGAGAAGCTCAAAAAGGAGGCTGATGTAGTCCAGAAGGCTTCCCTGAAGACACTGGGCCAAGAGCGAGTGGATAGATTGGGGTTCATTAAGGTCAGAGGGAGTGCTTTGTTGGAAAAGAAAACGTCATGAAAGACGCGTAAAGCGTTGGAAAACAGTGTGGGGGAGGAGGCCCAAGTAGCCGAAACCCAGAAGGGAGGGATGGTTGAGGCAGGAGTGAGAAAATGTCACGGACACGCATCTCATGAGCAATGGCAAGTCAAAAAAGAGTTTCCATCATGGACTGACGTCATCAGTCACCATGACTGAGGGGAGGCTCATTCCCAGAGTGCGTGTGGGTGGCAACAACAGGGGGTGCTGTCGTCTGTCTACAGCAGTCTTTGTGAGGCTCGTGATCTAGCGTGGGGTTATGGAGAGAGAAGAACTGGATGAATGCAAGAAATGTTTATCGTTAGAAGTGACAGGACTCGGAGGTGGTTGGTGAGGGACGGTGGGGTCAGTGAGTGCTTCGAGGTGGCCTCAATTCAGTTTGTAGGTGTCACCGTGACTAAAAACCTCACCTTTCTTGTTAGATTGTCAGGTCTTAAGTGTCGTCACTGTGTCTCACTCATCTTTCACGTAGAAGGAGACTCAAAGGCATGTGATGAATTTAGTGAACGTGTATGGGTTTCTCCCAGTAATTTGGAGGGAGACATGGGCTTCTGCTAACTCTCTTTGAACCAGGTGCCCTGAGCATCACAGTCCTTCGCCCTTTCCACGAAGCATCACCTTGGCTAATGAGGAAGGAACTGGACACAATCGTCCCTCCTAATCTCCACTCAAGGTCCTGGGAGACATTTCCTTCAGCTGAGGTAAGCATTTTTGCTGAAAACTCACTGTATTTGCACCTATGCTCCTCAATGGACGGGCGTCTCAGCTCTCCCATCTATTCATAGTTTAATCCTTATGTAAATTGCTAATGGGCACAAGGAGTTTTATATTCGATTATTCTAACATTCACAGATGTGGCAATAGCATTTTACAGGAATATTTCTGACTAGCTAATTTCAGTTTTATTTCTTTTATCTTTTATCTTATTTTGCTGAGCTATCTTCCTCTAATACGAAAATATCCTTTCTGAGCAATTCATGCTATACCTCTCCCATCATGAATTACTGATATTCTGCTACAGAAATCTTCCCTCCCACCATTTCTTATTTGTTAGTTTTAATGCACCATTTTAGGTCTTTTGCTCTTTTTTCTTCATACATTAAAAATGCACAAACTAAGCATATAACAACAATGTGAAAGATTACACACAGATTTGCAACTGCAGTGTTTGAAAGTAAACATTGTCTCCCATTCAAGCATTATGATGTCAGATTAGTGAAGCCTCACCTAAAATATTTTTAAAGAATGAAAGAAAATGGCTTGCCAGAAATCATGAAGTCCTGCATCTTTCAAGATTCGCGATTTCATTTTGCAAGCAATTTATGTCATGTGTCCAGCATATTGGCAAATGTTAAATTACTAAATTAGGGAGAGATCGTAGTATTAAGTGAGAAGACAGTGTTTTAGAATTTTGCTGATGTTTGCTGCCCTACACTAAGTCTTGTAACAGCAAGAAAACAGATGATGAACATTTAAGATTAAAAAGACCCCGGGCTCGGGGGCTCAGCCTGTAATCCCGTGCTTTGGGAGGCCGAGGTGAGTGAATTGCCTGAGCCCGCGGGTTCGAGACCCACCTGGGCAACTTAGCGAGACCTCATCTCTACAATAAATAAAAATTAGCCGGGCGTGGTAGTGCGCGCCTGTAGTTCCAGCTACTTGGAAGGCTGAGGCGGAAGGATCGCCGGAGCCCAGAAGGTCGAGGCTGTGGTGGCCAGGAGCGGCCACTGCACTCCAGTCTGGGCGACAGAGTGAGACTCCATCTCAAAAAAAAAATAAATTAAAAAGACCTCCAATTCCTACGGTTTAATTTGGTGACTATAAGCATCATGGTGAGAGGAAGGGGACCTGAATTCTAGTTCTCATTCTCCCCTTTATACTATGGAACTTGGGACAAGTCACCCTGAATCTCCACTTACTTCTCTGAAAATGAGGAGGCCACACCAAATGACTCACTAAGGGTATCTCCAAGTTGTAAGTACCACGTGATCACAAAAGATATGCCACATCTGAGATTAATGAAGGAAGTTTATTTCTTCCTCTGCAATGACCTTCTACACCTGGGAGGAGTGGCCCAGCCCCTGCCGGCCCCTGAGTAGTTGTCACTGGCCAGGCCTTTTAAAATGAAGTATATCAGGCACAGTTGAGAACATCGGGCAGCAAAGCACATCACTCCCAAAGACCAATAACAAGGATAACATAGAGATGTGAGCTTACTCTAAGGCAGACATTTCTGCACAGAAAATCCTGAGATTTTCTGCAGGGTAAGCTCAAAGACAGCCCAGACCTATGGGATGATTTCTCTCTCAAAGAATCTTTCTAGGCCAAGATGAACATGAAACCAGAAAGCTAAAGACTGCTCGATTACAAATTTCTTTGCCCCAATTAAGGAATAGTCGCCTACATTTGCCACAAGCTAGGCTGCTGTTGGATTACCAAGACACAGCACTGCTCAGCACTTCCCCAAATGCTACCCAATGGGACACCATGCAACAGGATTTTAAAATATACACACAAAAAAATAAAAAATAAATAAAATAAAATATACAGATTGTTGGTAACACACATAGAAAGGAAGCTTGCCCTGTTCTGTTATCAATTTTTCTTATATTTGCAAATTTTTTAAGGTAAGATATCTTTTTTCTCCATTTTATTCCTAATAATTGATTCCCAGTATAGTATCTATGTAATAAGTGTTCAATTTTTAAAATTTTTTTAAATTCTAATGTCAAAATATTCTGGTTTCTTTGGTTTGGTTTTGTTAACAGAAGAAAACTCCAGGCCCTCCGTTTGGCACTCACATTTGGAAAGGCCTTTGCTTTGCACCCAAACAGCTAGTGAGTGCCCCATCCCCGATACTCAAGAGCCCCAGTGTGCTACAGATACGCCAGTTCATTCAGCACGAGGCCATAAAGAACGAGGTGAAACTGAGGCTGCAGGTTTCCCTTAAGGTAATGGAATTCAGGTAACCTGACCTAAAGAATCAGAAATAGGGCAACCATTGCTCTTGGCTTCCTGAGGAACCTGAAATTATATAATTCTACCAATATTTATCTAGTACACACAAGAATATCAATCTTCCATTGAGTAGAAAGTTGAGAGGTATAAAATACTTAATGGTTTTCATAGGTGTGGAAATTATTGAGGCCCCAAAGACATTGAGAAGGTAAGAAACTTTTATCTGTCACCGTTATAGAGTCTTCCATCTTTCTCATTAAACAGAAAATTGATCTGGTGACCACTGGAGAAAAATAAAGCCACGTGTTAATCTAATATTTGTCCATGGATGAAAAGGATTGTTGGCTTTGGAAGTGGTCTAAAAATTTATAAATATATAGCTAATTGTATGATTACATCTATAACATCTCAAGTTTGTTAAGTCCCTCAGAACAGGTCTTATATGTGTTTGTAGTTGTTTGTGGTTATATACTCAGCACCTGGCATGGATCAGAGGATTGTTATTTATGCAAAGGGATTAATCATTTATGAAAAAAACTAAGTATATTCATCTTAAAAGGCATGGACTAGGAAAATTTCAGTCACAGATAAAACCATAAAGACTTTTCAGTTTGATGAGGTCCCGCTTGTTAATCTTATCTCTTATGGCATGGGCTTTTAGGGTTTTGATCAGGAATTGGTGGCCTATTCCTGCATTTTCTAAGATTCTTAATGTTTGAGGTTTTATGTTTAGGTCTTTGATCCATTTAGAGTTGATTTTTATGTATGGTGATAGGTAGGGGTCCTGTTTCACTCTTCTGCATGTGCTCAATCAGTTTTCCCAGCACTATTTATTGAATAGGTTCTCCTCTCCCCAGTTGTTGTTGTTGGAGGCTTTGTTGAAGATGAGTTGTTTCAGAAATTGAGGCTTTGTTTCCAGAATCTCAATCCTGTTCCATTGGTCTATATGCCTGTTCTTGTACCAATACCAGGTTGTTTTGATTATTGTAGCCTTATAATAAAGTTTAAAGTCTGGAAGTGTAATACCTCCTGCTTTGTTTCTCTTGCTAAGGATTGTTTTGACTATTTGTGGTCTTTTATGTTTCCATATGAATTTTTGTAATGTTTCAAGGTCTGAGAAGAATAACGTTGGTAATTTAATGGACATATCTGTAGCTTGCCTTTAGTAGGATGGACATCTTAACAATGTTGATTCTGGTCGGGCTTGGTGGCTCAGCCTGTAATCCCGCGCCTTTGGGAAGCTGAGGTGAGTGGATTGCCTGAGCCTGCGGGTTCGAGACCTGCCTGGGCAACTTGGCGAGACCTCATCTCTACAATAAATCAAAAAATTAGCCAGGCCTGGTAGCGTGCGCCTGTAGTTCCAGCTACTCGGAAGGCTGAGGCGGAAGGATCGCCGGAGCCCAGCAGGTCGAGGCTGCGGTGGCCGGGAGCAACCACTGCACTCCAGTCTGGGCGACAGAGTGAGACTCCAACTCAAAAAAAAAAAAAAACAATGTTGATTCTTCCAGGACATGAGCATGGAATATTTTTCCACTTGTTTGTGTCATCATTGACTTCTTTAAGTTTTCGTTGTAAAGATGTTTCAAATCTCTAGTTAAGAAGATGCCCGCGGGTTCGAGACCCGCCTGGGCAGCGAGACCTCATCTCTACAATAAATAAAAAAATCAGCCGGGCATGGTAGCACATGCCTGTAATTCCGGCTACTCGGAAGGCTGAGGCGGAAGGATCGCTGGAGCCCAGCAGGTGGAGGCTGCGGTGGCCGGGAGCGGCCTCTGCACTCGTCTGGGTGACAGAGTGAGACTCCAACTCAAAAAAAAAAAAAAAGAAGATGCCGAGGTATTTCACTTCTTTTGTAGCTATTGTGATTAGGATTATGCTTTTTATTTGGTTCTCTGCCTGTTTGTTTTTGGTGTATAAGAATGTGATTATCTTTTGCATGTTGATTTTGTACTCTGAGATTTTGCCAAAGTCCTTTATCAGTGCAAGGAGGTTTTTGACAGCTTCTCTTGGATTTTCGAGGTATAGGATCATATCGTCAGCAAAGAGGGATAACGTAACTTCTTTTCCTATCTGGATACCCTTGATTTTCTTCTCCTGTCTGATTGCTCAAGCTAGGACTTACAACAATATGTTGAATAGGAGGGGTGAGCATGAGTGGCGTTGTCTTGTTCTAGTTTTCAGGGGAAATGCTTCCCATTTCTGACCATTTAGCAATATGTTGGCTATGAGTTTATCATAGATGGCTCTTACTATTTTGAGGTGTATTCCCTCTATGCCTAGGTATTCAGGGTTTTTATCAAGAATGGATGCTGGATTTCATTGAAAGCTTTATCCACATCTAATGATATAATCTTGTTGACCTTGTTTTTACATCTGTTGATATATTTACATCTGCAGATGTTGAACCAGCGCTGTATCCCGGGGATGAAGCTTACTTGGTCATGGTGGATAATTTTTGATATGTGATGTTGGATCCGATTTGCTGGAATCTTGTTGAGAATTTTGGCATCTATGTTCGTCAGGCATATTGGCCTGTAGTTCTCTTTCTTTGTTGGATCTTTACCTGGTTTGGGTATCAATGTGATGTTAGCTTCATAAAATGATTTGGGGAGAGTTCCATCTTCCTTGATTGCCTGGAATACTTTTTTTTTTAATTTTAAAGATGGCTACAATTCAGGGTTGGGGATACAAATGATCATTGTACAGATGAAGTTTGGGACTCCCTTTGGTCCTCACTTCACCTGGTTTGAGATCAGGCACCCCTGTTGATGAGGTGTGCCCCTCTTCCCCTGGCAGTTCCCCACTACAGCCAATCCCTTTCTTATAGTATTATGACAATTGTTCATGGTCCACTTGTGAGTGAGAACATGTGGTACTCCGTTTTTGGATTCTGTGATAGATCACTGAGCTTTATAGACTCTAAATCCATCCAAGTTGAGGCAAAGTTAATAATTTTGTCCTTCTTTATGGCTGCATAATATTCCATTGTGTATATGTACCACATTTTTAAACATCCAGTCCACTATCAATGGGCAGCACAGTTTGTTCCTTGTTTTTGCTATTGTGAATAATGCTGCAATAAGCAGGCATGTGCAGGTATCTTTTTTGTAGAATGATCTGAGTTTGTCAAGTGTATATCCAGAAAGGGAATTGCTGGGTGTTATGGAAGATCAATTTTCAGATCTTGTAGGAATCACCACACTGTTTTCCACAGTGGATGTACTAGTTTAAACTCCCACCGACAGTGTAGAAGTGTTCTCTTGTCCCCACATCCTCTCCAGTATCTGCTGTTTTTTGAGTTATTGTTGATGGCCATCCTGACTGGAGTTAGGTGGTATCTCAGTGTGGTTTTTAATTTGCATTTCTTTGATGATTAGTGAGGCTGAGCACTTTTTCATTTATCTGTTGGTTGCTCATATGTCTTCTTTTGAGAAGTGCCTATTTATATCTTTTGTCCACTTTTTAATAGGGCTGTTTGTTTTTTTTCTTTTCAGCACGTTTGAGTTTCAGATGTTCAGCCTTTATCAGACACACAGTTGGCAAATATTTTTTCCCATTCTGTGGACTGTCTCCCCACTCTCTCAGTGGTTTCTTTGGCTTTGCAGAAGCTTGTCAGTTTGATGAGGTCCCACTTGTCTATCTTATCTCTTATAGCATGAGCACTTGGGGTTTTCATAAGGAATTGGTTGCCAGTTCCAATTTCCATAAAGAAGTCTCCTGCATTTTCTAAGGTTCTTATAGTTTGAGGTTTTACATCTAGGTCTTTGATCCATTTAGAGTTGATTTTTGTGTATGGTGATGGGTAGGGGGTCTTTTTTTAATCTTCTGCATGTGGTCAGCCAGTTTTCCCAGCACCGTTTGCTGAATAAGTTCACCTGGAATATTTTCAATAGGATTGGTAATAGCTCCTCCTTGTATGTTTTGTAGAATTCTGCTAGAAAGCCATCTGGTCCAGGGCTTTTTTGGGGGGATAGGTCGTTTTCTTATGATAGAGTCAATTTCCTGGGTGGTTATTGTTCTTTTTAGGATCTCAGTTCCTTCTTGTTTCAACCTTGGGAGGTTGTGTGATGTCAGGAATTTCTCCATTTCATTTAGGTTACCGAGTGTGTTTCTGTACAGGAGTGCATAGTAATAATCTCTCTGATAATCGTTTATATTTCTTCAGGTTCTTTTGTGACTTGGTCTTTTGCATTTCTGATGGTGTTTATTTGTCCTTTTCCTTTCTCTTTTTCTTAGTCATTCTGGCTAGGGGTTCGTCAATCTTGTTTATCCTTTCAAAGAACCGGCTTTTTGTTTCATTGATTTATTTTCCCATGGTGTTTTTGTCTTCTACGGCCGTACTGGGGCTTTTACCTTGGTGATCTGGATTCTGCTTCTGAAATTGGGGTTTTGGTGGTCTTGCCTTTCCAGCTCTCTTAAATGTTTGTTAGGCTGTTAACTTGTTCTCTTTCTATTTTCTTGATGGGTGTCCATAGAGATATAAATTCCCCACTTAGTACTGTTTTTGTGGCATTGCAAAGGTTTTTGATAAGATGTTTCTTCATTTTCATTTGTTTTAATCATCGAGAGAGGGGAGACAGTCCACAGAATGGGAAAAAATATTTGCCGACTGAATATCTGACAGAGGCCTAACATCTAGGATCTATAAGGAACGCAAACATGCTGAAAGGAAAAAAACAACCAGTCCCATTAAAAAGTGGGCAAAAGACATGAATAGACACTTCTCAAAAGAAGACATGCAAGCAGCCAACAGACACACACACACAAAATGCTCAGCCTCACTAGTCACCAGAGAAATGAAAATCAAAACCAAATTGAGATGTCACCTAACTCCAATAGAATAAACATCATTAATAAAACAAATAACAACAAATGCTGGCGAGGATGCAGAGAAAAGAGAACACTTCCACACTGTTGGAGGGAATGCAAACTCATTCAACCTCTGTAGAAAACAGTGTGGCAATTCCTAAGAGAATTAGAAATTGACCTTCCATGTGACCCAGCAATCCCTCCTCTGGGAATATACCTGGAGGAACTTAAATCACTCTACAAAAAAGATACCTGTGCACACATGTTTATTGCAGCACTATCTACAGTAGCAAAAACATGGAACCAACCATACTGCCCACCAAAACTGAACTGAATTTTTTAAATGTGGCACATATACACGATTGAATATTGTGCAGCCATAAAAAAGATCAAAATTACGGACTTTGCGGCAACTTGGATGGATTTTAGAGTCTATAGTATTCAGCGATTTATCACAGAATCAAAAACCTGAGTACCACTCTTAAGAGTTTCACTCTTAAGTGGGCCCTGAACATTTGCCATGATACTGTAAGAAAGGGGTTGGCAGAGCTGGAAACTGCCAGGGGAGGGGGAGGCATATAACATCAATAAGTGTACCTGATCTCGAGCCAGGCGAAGTGGGGGCAAAGGGAGGCCCAAACTCTACCCGTACAATGACCACTTGTATACTTTATCCTGAATTGCACCCCACATCTTTGAAATGGAAACTTTTTTAGAACCATAAAAACTATACCCAAAAGGATCCTAGAAATCATCTAACCCAACTCTGTCCACTTTATTGATGAGGACACTGGAGCACATAGACAGAAGCATGACCTCTCCGAGGTTCCCATAGAGCTCTGTCCTGTGGCCCCTAAAGCTTTGCTTTCGGGATTTTCAGGTCTTCACTATCAGCAACTGAAGGAAAATGTTTTCCAGGTTGCTTGACTAGTAACTAGTTGTTCAGCATTGTGAACTTTTATAAATTCTTCATCATTTGGTAATACTTCAAGTGGATACTGACTATTTTTGTCTTTCTCTCCCTACCTTATTTCTTGTTTTATTGATTTATTTGATTCTGCTGATCTAGGATTATATAAACCATATCCTAAAGAAAGAAGATGAGCTCCAGGAAATGACAGTTAAAGATTCTAGAACTGAGGAGGAGAGAGGCAACGCCGCAGATCTCCTCAAACTGGTTATGGTAAGAACATGTTTCACGTATCAGTGTTTTTAGTATTGTTTTAATGCTAGATCAAGACAAATATCACATGGAATAGTTACTTCTGTCCCTTCTATAAAGTCCCTGCTACCTCCTTATAATTTCCAATTTCTGTGGAAATCTGTTTCTGAATATAATGAATTTTCCAAATACATTTTTAGGCTCTTTCTTGGATCACAAATAATTCTGAAGGTTCTGGACCAGGCGTGGTGGCTCACACCTAGAATCTTAGCACTTTGGAAGGCCATGGTGGGGGGACTGCTTGAGCCCAGGATCTCAGAACCAGTCTAAACAACATAGCAAGAACTCATCTTTAGAAAAACAAAAAATTAGCCAGGCTTGTAGTCCCAGTTACTACTTCGCAGGCTGAAGCAGAAGGATCCCTTGAATCCCCAGGTGTTGGAGGCTGTTGTGAGCCATGATCATGCCACTGCACTCCAACCTGGGTGACAGAGTGAGACCCCTCAAAAAAATTCTGAAAGTCCTTAACTAAAACTTTTTGTCTTCAGAAGAAATGTATATTTATCAAATGCTGAATACATTAATGAATGAAATAGGAAGGGGGAAGAAAAAGGAATTTCTACAACTTAAAATGATTTCCGGTTTTAGAAATATGTTTGGTAAGTGGAATGATTTTTTTTTAAAGTCAAACGTATCTTGGTATTTAAAAGCGAATTCATTTTATAATAATTCCTACAAAGATCAATCACATAAAAAGTGCTTCTGAATAAAGTGAGCATTGTATATAATAAAATCATCATTAAGTAATTTTATCTTTGTTTCAGTCTTTCCCTAAAATGGAGGATACAACAAAAAGTCATGTTACTGAAGGTAACTGGCATTAATATTTTTCTGCAGTATATTTATAAATTTCAAAAGAATGGTCTTAACACACTTATTAGTCATTCTCTTATCTAATACCAAAGCACTATGTACATACCTATCTCCATTCTCATATTGGCCATGCTGTGTTGTAATGATTTCTTTATGCAAATCTTTCTGTCTGTATTGTTCTGGGTTTTGAGATCCTTGAAAACTGTGATTGCCTCTAATTCACCTTTTACTTTCACCCATTGAATGAAAAACGTTGACATTTGACTTTTATGTTAACCTCAACTATTTAAAGCATAGCTAAGAAATGGAAAGTAAACAGTCAACCAGCAATCCACAGCCCACACAGAACTTTTGAGTGCAGGTATCGCCAAAACCTCGCACTGTTTTACATTGTATGTGATGCAAGCAGTAAGCTGTGAGATCCCATTCAAAGCATATGTATTCTGGGATATACACAGCCCCAACAGATGTGTTATATAGTTTCTCAGTTCATAGCAAACAACCAATGGATAATTTGATGTGTTTTTTGGGGGTTTTTTTTATTTGCTATATAGCGAAGGTCATAAAGGTCATAAACTGACAACCATGGGCTTCATTCAGGCCACAGATAAATTTTGTGTGTCTTCTACAATTGTTTTTGTTTGTCTAGATTTTTCTCCTCTTGAAATGCCACATGATCGCATAGTGGCATTTGACTGAAGGTAATTAGCAGCCACCCCCTTAAGAGGACCATCACAGAAGAGCCCTCCACAACCCCCAATATCTCTCTGTTCTTATTCTCTGTGGTCACTCTTTTATGTCGAGTAGGGTGGCCAGATTTAGCAAATAAAAATGCAGAAGGCCTAGATAAATCTGAATTTTAGATAAACAACAAATAATTTCTTTAGTATAAGTAGGGCATAGTTTGTATGTTTGACATCTCCAAATCTCATGTTGAAATTTGATCCCCAATGCTGGAGTTGGGGCCTAGTGGGAAGCCTTGGGGTCATGAGGGTGAATCCCTCGTGAATGGGTTGGTGCAGTCCTCAGGATAGCAAGTTCTGCCTCGATTATGTTCCACAAGAGACGGTTGTTTGAAAGAGCCTGGCACCTCTCTCCCCTCTCTCTCGCTTTCTCGCTCACCATTGGATGACTGCACATGCCAGCTCTGCTTCACCTTCCACCATGAGTGAAGCAGCTGGAAGCCCTCACCAGAAGTAGACGCTGGGGCCATGTTTCTTGGACAGCCTGCAGAACCATGAGCCAAAGAAACCTCTTTTCTTCATAAATTACCCAGCCTCATGTATTCCTTTATAGCAACAACAAACAGGCGAAGACAAAGTATGTCCCAGATAGAGCCCATATGTATATTAAAGATTGTTAGTTTATCTGAAATTCAAATTATACTAGGTGCCCTGTATGTTATCTGGAGATTCTACCCTGTAGCAGTGGGATCTGTAACCATTGGCACAAGGGAACAGGCTCAATAGAGGTAAACACAGAGGTTGCCCAATAATGAAGGAACAACTAAGCGTATTTTTTAAACAACCAGAGGAAGTAAACAGCATCTTTTGCAGGCTTATAGATATCCATCACATATCATTACTAGTGATCTTAGGTCAACATTTTCCCAAAGAATATTTTAAAATACTAGTCAATGAGAAGACTCCACCAAAAATGGGCATTATAGGATAATGCGACATATTGTCTTATTTGCTACAGTGGGCATTAACTAATTAAGGATGCAGAGAAGTCCTACAGTCATAAAAACACATTTAATCATATATGAACCAGTGTTTCCCAAGTTCATGGAACCATGGAACGTGGAAACTTCTTTCTTTTTTTTAATCTTCTGTTGACATCCCAGCAAGACCATGTTCTGTAGATAGACTCTGAGAATTATTCTGAGAAATTATTCAACAACCATTTTCTCATATTTATGTCTTTAGATTCATGGAGCAGATAAATATCTAGAAAAACAATTTTAATATGATTAATTTGTTTTAAGATTTGTTTCTTTAGATATGAGGAAATTTAGTTAGGTGGAACACTCCTTCCACTAATAATGTGAGATAAATTAGGTGTCACTACATTACATTTTGACTATGAGATGTTTTGTTTTGTTTCCTAGCAGGATGTTTCATGAAAGTAGCCTGGCTTGCTTACTGTTTTATTACAACTTGGTCATGCAAATTCTATTAAACACTTGCTAGATTAAATATAGGCTCATAAAAAGCATATCAGATAAGTAATTGGATGCTGATTGTGTACTGTATTGTGAAGACATAGGAATAAACGCTAAATTTATGTATTTTTAAAGTTGCAGCCCATCTAACTGATTTATTTAAGCAATCTTCGACTGCTGCTGCAAAATGTCCACCAGACAGACTTGGTAAAGACTTTTTGGAAAAGAAATTGAGGTGAGCCAACCCAATAATATGTTCTAATTAGCATGAGGCAAACCGTAATTGAGGAGATGGAGAGATGCCGGTGTCCTAGCTTTGGGTGACGACATCAGCTCTTCATCTCCCATACTGTTAACAATTCATTACATAGTGACAGTTTTTCTTGTACTGTTTGTAAGCTGAGATCACTGACCCCTTTCATCATAATTCTGTCTCTTTTTTTTCCCTCACATAGGCACATAGCAACCTCAAAGCACTGGAAGGAAAAGATAGATGAAAAGAGGTAATTCTACCCTGAAATATACATAAGCATGTGAAAAGGCCCAGAGTCTAGAGTCTTAGAGTGGGATAGGCTGAAACATACCAGCTGTTTTTTTGTTTGGTTTCTTTTAGTTTTTGGTTTTGTTCAGTCGGAGTCTCACTCTATCGCCCAGGTTGGAGTGCAGTGACACGCTCACGGCCACCGCAGCCTCAAACTGCTGGACTTAGGCGATCCTTCCCTCTCAGCCTTCCAAGTAGTTGGAACTACAGGCATGTGCCACCATGCCTGGCTAATTTTTCTTGATTATAGTAGAGATGAGGTCTCGCCAAGTTGCCCAGGCTGATCTCCAGCCCCTGGGCTCAGGCGGTCCTTTCACCTTCACCTCCCAAAGTGGAGTACCAGCTTTTAAGTCACTCTCTTCTACGGCATTTCTGCCAAGTGGTTACTGAGCTTTTTGTGTGATGATATCATGATCTCTTGAGGAAGCCCATCTGACCATTAGATAAATCCTCTTTCTCTCCTATGCAAGCAAGTTCTCAAGGTACTCTATGTGTTTTTAGTAATTCTAATATACTCATAAATATTCTGGACTTAATGCAGGACATAGTCATAAACTTTCAGCGATTCTTACAGTTCACATAAGGAATGTTCTCGAAGCATTACATGGTTTGGTTTCCTTTCCATCCTAGCTGGGGATTTCAACTCCTGCTCTCTGTGGCAGTACATGTGATGCTTCATGCACATTTTACATGGCTGTCTTCAAAATGACTCCAGGATGAATACGCTTCTTCATAAAAATGTCAGAGTCATCTTGTGAAATGTGTTAGGGAAGTGGCGAGATAAGACATCAAGCCTCACGGGTCACCCCCACAGGGAAGGAAGAATATCTTAAGTTTTATGTGACTTGGAAGTCTGCATAGGGAAACGAGGACCCAAAGAAATTATTGAACCCGAGTATTTCTATGCTAGGCGTGGTGAAGAATGGAGAGTCCTGGGTAAACATGATAGGCATGGCCCAATGACAATAAGCTGAGGGAAACGCAGCAAGGCCTGCTGGTTTGGATTCTTCTCCGTGTTCCTGTGTCTTCAGAGATGAGGATACGTTTTTCCTCTGGGTGTAAGGATAGCACCTCTCACAGGAGGGTCTCATGACCTGCTTCAGGGGAAGGTCAGAAAATCCTCCCTAGGCATTCTGACCTGCTTCGTGGAAGAAGGAGTGGGGAGATCAGAGACCTTCCTGCACATGTTGCTTCTTCAGTTCTCTCAACTCATAAAATACTGAGTATGCCATGGTGCTGTACTTTGAGGTAGTGTGTTCTGAACCCTGCCAGTCTCAAAGAATATCCCCAAAAGCGTATCTGAGGGACTGGCGTCAGTGATTGTCCAATGGTAAGGAAGAATGAGAGATCAGGGGACAGTGTGACATGGAGACTTCCTTGTTATTGTGTACTCATTAACACCTTTTGAATTGTGTATAGATGACTCTGTTACCTATTTAACTTTTTTTAAATGTTGAAAGATTAAAAATTTCACGTTTTAGGTTCTGGTAGGTGACGGCAAACCAGTGATTGTTTTTAAAGAAGAAAAATGAAACATATACTTAGATGTGTGTCACTGACAGAGAAATGTTTGCAATGTAGAAAATGGGTTGGGACAAAAAAGGGGAAAGTTTTCAGGAAATAGAAGCTGGTCAGCAAATGTCAGGTGCTGTGGTAGGATCAGAAATAGGAATAAAAAAAGGAATTAGAGTTAATCAGTTAGAAGTTCACATAATTTCTTTTGTGAGACCACTTTTAAGAGCGTGATGGGCAATAGCCAGACTGCCATAGATCGATAAGTGATTCCGGTGAGGCAGTAGAAACAAGGAACTGGAAATGGAAGTTGCTTAAATAAGGTAATATTTTGGTCAGACCTGTCTGGTACTTCCAGACAAGCCATCCAGTGTAACAGCATTGGTCACACATCCAAAGTCAGATACAGTTTGATGATTCCTGACAGACTGTACTGGTTGTTTCACATCAGTAATGTTTACTTGAGGAGCTCAGTTTGCTCACCTATAAACTGCGAGGCTGATGGGGTTGCCAATATCTAGGCTCACTTTTAGCCCTCATGTTGGTGACTGACAGCTTACTAGCATGGACAGTTGTCAAGATCATGGTCTCGGAGGCAAGCAACCTGGGTTTTACTTCAGACTCCACCCTTTATTTGTTATGTGATTTGGAGTAAGTTACTTAACCTTTTTACACCTTGATGTTTGGGGCCTTTAAAATAGGAATAATAGTAGGAGCTCATAGGGTTATTATAAGATTAAATGTAAAATATTTCGCATAGCTCCTGTCACGCAATAAGCACTTAAAAAAAAACTCAGGCAGGATTAAGTTCAGAAAACCCCCAAATCTGCGCTTTCATAAGAATGTAAAAGAACTCAGAGGGAGTAGTTCACTGTAGACAGCACCACAATGTTATCCGAATGCAGATTTCTTCTTTTTATCTGTCCCATCATTCTTAGCACATGCTTTCCATCCTTAAGGTTGTTTTGATGGCAGAATAATTGCTGCAGCCCCATTCATTGCACGCACAATTCAGGAAGCAGGAAAAGAGGCGAGGCAAGGACCATGGGCAGCCTCTCGGCTCAGCCCAGCCCACCTCTTTGAACGCTTTCCTAACTTCAGTTTCCATTTCACCGGCCTCCCCAATATACGGGTTCTGGTATAAGAAGGACAAAACTATCATAAGAGCAGAATGATCATGATTGCTTTTATTTTACTTTGTAACCACTGACCACGTTTTTCATAAATCATCCCTCAGGTTTTTGTTGATGGTTTTCTGTGTTTGTTCTTATTACTACTGCCACCGAAATTATGGAGACTAGTAGACTCTGGCTGTCATTCAAATCTCAGAGTTGGAAAACCTCAAAAAAGTTGAACCACTGTAGTGGTTTTATATGTAGTTTTTAGCCCTTTGAGATCAACTGTGAGGTCGAACTAACACCTGGTATCACGATTTCCTGTCTTATTTGAGACTCTGATTTTTTACGTGGGAAATGTAACTGATTCTAAAAGAAGTAGAAAATGAACCAAAACAAGTTAATTAAAAAAAAAATCTGATAAATTAGTTCTTACCAGTTTTGCTATTAGGGGTTGCATTTGTTTTCTGTGGGGTTTAGAGCTAAAGCGCAAGCAAATCACATTTCTGAATGTCCTGTGTCTTTCTTTGCATCATGATGAAAATAATCAGGAAGGAGATTGAGACAACAAAAACCCACCTAAAGAATATCAGGAACCATGTAATTCCACCCTATTTCAATTCTGAGTTGAGCAAGCTCTATCAGTCTCAGGTAATTGAATAAAATTAACAGTAGTCAAATATAAAATTATAAAAGCCAATGTATTCTGTATGTTTTTATGCAACCTATCTTTCCTGACGTTGTGTAATTGCATCCTGCATCCATCTGACCGCCGACTCCGTACCCTTCAAATCCACAGTCTCACAAGCCTGTGGTGGGAAGACTAACTCAGGTCTTGCACCGAAGTAGAAGTTCTCGGACAGTGTGTTACTACCACCACCACCATCACAACCACCCGCACCCTTCCGATCCTCCCCCCGTGCCTTGCATTCTCACTATTCACTGCCCTCTCCTATTTTAAGCCTTTTGGGGATTAAGTTCTTCCTATCAGTGATTATCTTCTTATGAACTCCGTTTGGAAGTTTTTATTCGGTTAAAATTTCCTCACCATCAGCTGCTGAGCTAGCCCTAAGAGACTGAGTTCTTGGAAGTCCACGGAGGCAGAACATTCTCCTCCTCTAGTGAGCTTAACCTTCCCTTCACTGGCCAGGAGTTCAATGAAACCCTGAAGCAAAGTGAATATTTCCATGTGTTCAGAACTCCCTGAGTTTCTAAGAAAATCCCTGATGCTGCTACTAACCAGAGGCTTCCTGAGAAGAAATGGCAGGAAATTATGACAAACGCTAGAGTTGGTTTAATCAGTCTCTTGAAGAAATTTTAATTTGTAAACTCTAATTTAAGGACTGTAAAAAAATATGCTTGCATCACTGCTCATCAATATAACATATTTGTGATAGTCAGCTTTTGGCTGTGTGTAAGTCTAAAATAAGTATTTTGGGTTTTCCTCGAAGTACAAGTACCTGGACAGCCTTTCCAAAAAACTGCCTCCTTTTACAAAGAAAGATGAAGATGCTAACCAGACAGATGTTCAAGATACGTCTGATCTCCATCTAGGTAATACATTCATGTAGCATTTTTTTTTCCTGCTAAATGTCCTTAACGTTTACCTAAAAGCCTTTAGACTAATTTAAAAACCAAGGGAGTAATGGAAGCTTGTTGGGGAACAAGGCATTCGCTTGGTCTCAAAATATCAACCCACATGTGACTTACTAATTATGAAGAAGAAAATATATCTTTACAGTAGAAACGTATATTGTTTTCTACCTTAACTAAGTTATCAAATTTCTACCAATAGTGAGACAGCCCAGCATTAGGTGCCTTCTCATATGATGCAAAGTGAAGTGCATAGTACCTATATAGAATTTTTGCCAAAAATCCTTAACCTGAATCTAATCAAGAGGAAACCATCAGATAAATGTCTTCCAGAATGTAGACAACAGTTTTGTAAGACAACAGGCCTGGTCTCTTCAAAAATGGTTCATGTCATTAAAACAAAAAGATGGGGTGATTGTGCTAGATCCAGAGGGACTGAAGTGACATAAAAACTAACCACAATATATAGACTTTGATTGGATCCTAGATTGAGGGAAAAAATAACTATAAAAGCTGTTTTGGAGAAACTACACAAGTTTGATTAGGGGACTATCTGTTAGAGGACATTCTGAAACTACTGTTAACTTCTTGGTATGACAATGTAGTGAATGTGTAGGAGAATGTCTTCATTCTCAAGAGGTGCATGCTGAAGAATTTAGGAATAAAATGAAATTTAATGCTTCTCTTTAATAAGTACCCAGATAGAGGAACTTTCCACCACACAATACAATATCAGAAGTTCCGCCACCTATAATGAGCCCGACCAACATCTAACTACAACAAGAGTTTGCAAACTAATAATTAAGCCTAAAACAACCACGTGTAAATGTGGCAGGGAGAAATCAGAGACCGGTTGGTCCTCATGCTGTGCTGTGGCTCAGAACTCCTGTGCCCCAGGCAGACAGCACTAACCAAGGGCAGTCAACTCTCCCCTTGAAATGGAGCGAGGCTGTGGAAGTCTTTCCCGCACAGCACTCCAAGCGGAAACAACTGTTCAACCAGTTGTTCAACACACACGAGTTGAAATGTATTTGCCTCTCCGATCCTAGATATTTTTCTTTAAAAATCACATCTTAGTTACCATTACCAGGTAACTAAGTCCAGACAAATAACCTTGTCACAAGGTGACAACTCTACTGTTCGGTCATAATGCCCATAAAGAACCAGCTAGCTCCTAGCAAGTGTAAACTTCTCAGATACTGTTCTGTCTGTGAATAACAAACAATATATCATATTTGAAGAAACCTTGCCTCTTAATGGCTTTCTTAAAGTTAGTCTTTCTGAAGAAGGTGGGAGTAAAAGCACCTTGTTCATTGTAGGACACCGTGTTCAATATTTGCTCATACAAACATTAATAGTCATTGTATCGTTGCCCAAAATATCACTTAATAATGTTCATTTTGGGTTTTCTAGAGTCCAAGCCACATAAGGTTTCAGAACAGGAAACCTCAATCATGCCTAGTCTTCCAAAATCAGAGATTTCTATGGATACGAAGGAGTTCAACAGCCAGAACCAGACTGAAAATCTAACAAAATTTACCGAAGGTATGGCAGTTATTTGCTTTATCTTACTCTTTCTTGAAACTGGATGTTATATCTTTTTGGAGCATGGAAGATAGCACTAGGGACTAGGGGTATGGTTGGCAGTGACAAGAACTATTCTAGAAGGTCATGGATCCTGGAGCTTTGCAGCTTTGTGAGGCTTTTTAGCATATCAAAGTATCTCAAAAAATATTTTGAGAATTACTACAAGTCCAAGGTTGAAGGAAAGATATCATAAATACCTTTTCTTAGATGTATTATGTTATTTCATTATTTATTTTAATTTATCCCTCAGAGTCTGAGAACTTGAGTGATTTATCGAAGGCCAGGCACTTGATAAATTTTCTTGAGCAGCTGGTAATTTGGTAGTTGGATTTAGACTGACTTATATTTTAGTACTTTCTTGGTCCTACAGGTTCTAGAAGAAAAAACATAAGATGTAGTCTCTGTCTTACACAGCACATACTCTTATTGGGCTAGCAGAAATTAAAATAGAGAAAAACACAGAGTAATATTTAATGACAATGGAGTCACATTACTCTGATTTTATGGAAGTTAATTCAACTACATAAATTGGTCAAAAAAAGAGAGAAGTCTTCAACAAAGCCTCCATCAACAAGCACCAGGGAGAGGAGAACCTATTCAGTAAATGGTGTGGGGAAACTGGCTGACCACATGCAGAAGAATGAAACAGGATCCCTACCTATCACCATATACAAAAATCAACTACAAATGGATCAAAGACCTAAATGCAAAACCTTCAACTATGAGAACCTTAGAATAGACAGGAGACAACCTTATGGAAACTGGAATAGGCAACGAATTCCTGATCAAAACCCCAAATGCCCATGCCATAAGTGAGACGATAGACAAATGGGACCTCACCAAACTGAAAAGTTTCTGCAAAGCAAAAGAAACTATCAAGAGAGTGGGGAGACAGCCCACAGAATGAGAAAAAATATTTGACAACTGTATATCTGACAAAGACTTGACATCCAGTATCTACAAGGAACTCAAACGTGCTGAAAAGAAAAAAACAGCCCTTTTATAAAATGGGCAAAAGACTTGAATAGACACTTCTCAAAAGAAGACATACAAGCAGCCAACAAACACATGAAAAAATGTTCAGCCTCACTCATCATCAGAGAAACGCAAATCAAAACCACATTGAGATACCACTTAGCTTCATAAGAATGGTCATCATTAATGAAACAAAAAACGTCAGTTACTGGCAAGGATGCAGAGTAAAGGGAATGCTTCTACACTGTTGGTGGAAGCGCAAACTAATTCAATCTGTGTGTGACAATTTCTAAAAGAACTAGAAAGTGGCCTTCCGTACGACCCAGTAGTTCCCCTTCTGGGAATATACCCAGAGGAACTCAAAAAAGATACTTGCACATGCATTCCTATTGCAGCACTATTCACGATAGCCAAAACATGGAACCAACCATGCTGCCCATTGAAACCGGACTGGATTTTTAAAAACGTGGTATGTAGACATGATGGAATATTGGACAGCCATAAAGAAGGACAGAACTATGGACTTCGATGCAACTTGGATGGATTTGGAGTCTATACACTCAGTGACCTATCACAGAAACAAAGAACTGAGTACCACATGTTCTCACTCATAAGCAGACACCAAACACCTATCATGACACTACAAAACAGGGAGTGGCAGTAGCAGGGTGAGGGGTCAGAGCCCATAACATCAATAAGGGTGCCCGATCCTAGTCCAGGCAGTGTGAGGTCCGGTGGGAGGCCCAAAACCTCACCTGGGCCTAAACCACTTGCAGATGCAATCCTGACTTGTACCCCACAACTTTGACATAAAATAATGTTAAAAAAAGAGAGGGCATAACTTAAATTTTATAGGTAATTCTGCCCCACTTGATTCTTGTGGGCTTGTTTTATACTGAATGTGGGGTGAGAATCTACTGATGGATCTCAGTTACCTCTTATAGAGCACCGTCTTTGCCACATTTGTGGGTAAATTAAGAGATTTACTCTTCACAAGACTTTTGCCTTCCTGAGCTAAACATCTCTCCTACAAGGTTTATGGATTCAGTGGATAATTACTCAACACCTACTGTGTGTCAGGCATTTTTCTAGATGTGGAAATGCAACAGTTATGAGGCCAAAGTCTCCTGGAGCTGTGCTTACTGTGGGCAGACTGAGATAATAAATCAGCAAATAAATAAGTTAGACAAATTCAGGCTGTAAGAAATGCTATGACATAACAAAACAGTGTAATATATGAAGAACAACCTGGGGAGGGGGCAACCTTTCATTAAGGGATCAGAAGACGCTTTGTCAAGGAATAGTTGAGCCGCGACAGGGTCAACCATGCAAAGGTTCAGGCCGAGGAATATTCCAGGTAGTGAGAACAGCAAGCATGAAGACCCTGAGAGGAAGAAACATAAAGAAGGCATATCGCTAGAGCAAAATGAGCAAAGGAAAAAGTAAAAGAAGGAGCGGACAGAGAGAAGGGCAAAGATGAGATCATGTAATACTGCACAGGGAGTTTTGAGTTTTAGTCCCAGGGCAGTTTTATTTAAGCAACAGTGGAAGATTTTGAGCAGGGTAGTTACACAGCTGGTCTGTACTTTTAAAAGATCACTGTGAGGATAATAGCTTATGGCAAGGAAAGGGGGGGGGACAAGTGGAAACAGGAAGGAGGCAGCTGAAGCGGTGACCTGGACGAGGTGTTTGGGGTGAGAAGCAAATTAGCAGGAAATATATCATGGGGGTGTAGCCCACAGGACTCGCTAGCCAATTAGATGAAGAATCAAAGAGGATTCCTGTACTAACCTACGTAACCAGTCGTGAGGCTGAGAAGTAGTTTTGATGAGTTCGCTGGTGGTGCTGATATTGCTGGTATAGGATCAGGCTTTGAGAACCACTGTACTGAGGCAACCCCTAGAAGGTAAGAGTCAGGCAGGGGAGGAGCCAGGAAAGGCAATTAAGAAGAAGCCAGCGAGAAGGGAGAAGAACAGGAGTGTGAAATCACTGAGTGTTGCAAGTGTGTCACATGTTCCTGAAAGGTAGAGCAAGGTAAGGCATAACCATAGGACTGGGCAAAATGCAGATCACTGGTTTCAGGGCATGAAGGGAACCAAGAGAGAAGATACAGAATATGGATACACATAGGTGTGATATGGGGAAGATTAGGGAGTTCCTTTCTGATTGCAAAGGAGTGGGTATAACGATAGAACATCAAATATGGTCCAGATAAACAGGAAAGCAAAACAAGAAGGAAGTTGCTGGTTGTGTGACGTTGATAGTGTCTGCTGATCAGAGGTCTCAGTGAGTTCAAATAATTGCCTGCTGGATATAATAGAGAATTAGCTAGAAGAATAGGAGGTGGTCACCTAGAAAAGGATGCTTGAAATTGAGATTTTGAAAGTGGTGAATGTACTGGCGTTGGCAAGTTCAAAAATATGACCATGGGAGTTTCTGAGGTGCAAAGAGGAAAAGATGCAGAAACAGAGGGATCAAGAATCAGAGAACAGGGTGTTGGACAGATCATCTAGGTGATTCACCAGGATAGATGAAGTGGAAGACCATCCCAGGTGTAAGATCTCCAATGAATAAAGGGAATGGACAGAGGTTGGTAAATGACCACCACTTGGAGAAGTATTGGCTATTACAGTCTGATAGCACAAGCTTCAAAAGAACGGAGCTTTGAAGGAGGAAAAACAAATAGTTTCAAAACAAGAAGGATACCTACCGTACCCCCTAGTACCGAGGTACCTGACATAAGGGACAATAATGTGACTTCAATGTAAATGGCAAGTTAATTTTGATACAAAAATGTTTAAAGAAGTTTCGAGCAGGAAGAGATTAACGCAAAATAGTGGAGAAAGATTTATGGGAGGCGTGATCTTGAAAAATAAATAGAATTTCATAGATTTTAAGATTTCAGAGGTGAATCACCCAAAAGAACGCTCCTTGTACTTGAAGAAACTGAAACCTGGAAAAGTCAAGTGACATCTAAAATCATGCAGCAAATTTGTGACTGAGGCTGGGCTAGAAAATGAGTTTCAAGACTCAGAAGTGTCTATATTTTGCTACACTCCACTCCAGATGTAGGGAAGGGAAAAAGAGTATTTTATTTACAATAATGTGAGTGTGTTCAAAAGCTTAAAGGTAGAAGTGAATAGGAAATCAACTTAAGTGAATCAGAGAGTTTTTATTTGGTTATTATGCAAAATAATGTCTGGAAAACACAATAGAGTCAGCTAGAGAAGATTTGGATTTGTCAAATAAAATGGGTGTTTGTCAGTGTTTGCTGTGAAACTACTGCACAGAAATGTCCCCAAATCCTGCCGTGGCTTCAAACCACCAGGGTGTGGGCCCGTGGATGGCAGCGGCAGCTGTCCCCAGACCGCAGGCAGGGTGTGCCGGAGTCGGCTCCATGGTGCCTGAGAGCTGACTGTCGCCTCTTGTCACCCTCACGTCCCGTGACATCACATGGCTTGCTCGAATCAGCCATGGCAGGTAATCAGCGAATGCCACAGGTGAGCAAACGGTGCACACCAGGGCAGCTCATGCCATTCACTACTGATCAGCACACCACCAGCAGAAGGTGAGGTTCAGCTGTGTTCCGAAACGCCCCACTGGAGGAGCCGCCACCGTCGGACAAGCCGTCCTCAAGTGCTCACAGCCGAAGTCAGAGCTCAAGAGAGGCGAGCAGGACACAGTTGTCCCTCACAGCCTCAGCTCTGGCACGCTGCCATCCACACACACATCTGTTGGTCAAAGCAAGTCCTGCGGCCAAGCAAAGTCAATGAGGCAGAGAAATGTACTCCGCCTACGGGGGAGCCGTGGTCAGAAGGAAGTGAATAATTGTGAATAAATAATCCAGCTCACCACCTCAGGGCAACAGGGAACCACGGCGGGTTCTTCGGTCGGCTTGGGTCCAGCCGTAGTAGTCCCATGATGTGCATTAGCAGGACCGTGCCAGTTGTTCAAACAGTAGGGGATCTCCGTGTCAGCTAGTAGCCAGCCACTGCTCCAGGTTCCTAAAGAGTCCCTCCCCCATCTTTCCAGTCCCTGGAGAAGTCCTGGGTCGGTTCCGTGGAACAGTGGTCTGCCTGTTTTGTGGGAGGCAGTATAGTATAGAGCAGACCAGGGTGTGGTCTCCACCTGGGTGCACATCCTGGCTCCTTAGGAAATAACTACCTGACCCTTGGCACGTTGTTCAAGCCCTCTATGTCTTCCCATTTCCTCTTCTGTAAAGAGAGAGAGAATGGCGTATACGAGGGGGGACCCAAAAAGACCCAGCATTTATTCATAAAAAATTGTGTTTGCATTCTTACATTTTACAACTTCAGTCGCCCTCAAGTCCTCACCTCTTGATGCAGTGCACCAACTGAAATGCTTTTTCCACCGTTCAGAACAGCTTTTGAGCTCGTCGACTTTGATGCCTTTTAGTGCTTCTGCCTTTTTTTGTTTCACCTCTTCCACACTGGCAAAATGTTTCCCTTTGAGGAAACATGTTCCATCTGGGGAAACAAACAAAAAAAGTCAGGGCAAGGTTGGGTCAATAGGGAGGGTGGGGTCTGGGGGTCAGGCTGTTTTGGGTCAAAAATGAACACAGCCTGGTGAGGCCAGACACACTGGCAAACCACTGGTCATGAAATGGGCAAATGCATTGAAAGCGTCTCCCAAAAAAACTCCCGCAGCCTCTCACAGCAACACTAGCGGGTACACTGATGTCGATGAGTTCCTGGAACGCTTAGTTCATGGGAGAAGCCTGTCCTCCAAGGGATCCGCCCTCCAGAAGATAATTCCGGTTTTTTTGAGTCCCCCCTCATACATTACAGGGGTGTGAGAATTCAATTCATTAACATATGTAAAATGCTTAGAGCAGTGCCTGGCACATGGTAAGCACCATACCAGTATTTACTATTAATAATAACACTATGAGCAATCAGTTAGTAGCCATTAGACTGATAAAATATGTTTGCACAAAAAATGATAAACACACAGTAAGGATGTGAACAAAAAGATGTTTCTAGCCATTAGAATGGCTGCCCACGTGGGGAATGGTGACCACTAATCTGACATTCATCCCAGAGATTCTGATTCTTTTTTTTTTTTTGGTTGGGAATAGGGCTTTTCTGGCATGTGGCCTGGGAATCTTTACTTTCCCAGAAGCAACCCAGGAAATTGTGATGCACAGACACACTGGGTAGTAAAAGGGACACGTTCCTTGTGAAACCTGACACTCTTAGGTTCACATTCTAACCCTGCCACTTAATACAGTTTTTTGGACAAGTTATTTAATCCTCTGAAGATCTGTTTCCTCACTGGTTTAAAAAAAAAAAAAGAGGAGAGACACTACTATTACAACATTAGTTAGGACTTCTCAATTTATAACAGTGAGAACTAAAACTAACGTGAACAAAAAGAAAAAAAATAAATCGATGGGTGTCAAAAAGCCAACCACAGAACGTGGCCGTGGTGCCAGCCCAGGGATGTGTGGACCTAGAGCCGTCAGCTTCCCAGGAGCGTCTTTGTGTCTGACCACCTGTTTCTCTCCACATCCTCCCCGCCTTCATCTCCGCCTGTCTCTGCGTGCTCCGGTTCCTTTTGATCCTCTCCTACAAAGCGCAGTGTGGCAGGGACCAGGACCACAGAGGCCCAAGACTCTGGTTCTCCCAGGCCCGTAACCTAGTGGGCAAGATGAGGTTATCCCCATCAGTTTCAGTAGAAGCGTCCAGGGAAGTGCCGTGTTGGCTTGGCCTTGCCTCTGGTCGTTGGGACCAGGACGTGGCGGCACCAAGAGTGTGTGGGAGGAGGGCACAAGGAGATGGGGGATGGGGCGTGTGCCGGTCGTGCCGAGATCACCCTAAACCTCTCACTCAGAGGCTTTTATAACCAAGTAAGATGCTCTGTGAGGAAACACGTGTGGTGCTCACCTGCAGAGAGTGGACACTCCAATATTGGTTCCCTTTCTTTTCCTTCTGATTTGAACGCGGGAAACACTTTTTAAATTGATGATCTAGAATACACTTGTCTCAGCTTCCTGCGTATTTGGAACGAATTCACGCAGCTGTTCCTATGTGGATTGTCTACACTGACTGCTTCATGTAACTGAGGAAAGGAACAAGTTACCCAATTTAATGATCTCAGGATTTAGTGCCCCAGCTTAATTTATTTTAGTTACTATAACACTTTCTAGAACTATAAATATAGTAGTAGAATCTAAGAAATTCTTCAGATTTTGTACTCACTGTTTTTAAGAAATCTTTCAGACTCAAAGTTTTATTGTATTGCATCTTGTTGATTCAATGGAAGGAACCCTGAAGACCTGGGTATAATTCAGTTCATTATAGGCAAGCCACTTGACTCCTTAGAATTTTATTTTTCTCATGTATTTAAAAAAAAAACAAACCCAAACTGTTGCTAACAGTTTCTGCCCTGCCCATCTCATAGGGTTGTTGTGTTGACCAATATTAGGTCATGCATGTAAAATCACTTTGTAAAATGTAAAGACATAAAGTGAAAACAGAAGCCTTTTTTCCTTTCAAAATGTTTTTTTTTTGTTTGTTTTTTTGTTTTTTTTTGAGTTGGAGTCTCACTCTGTCACCCAGACTGGAGTGCAGTGGCCACTCCCCGCCACCGCAGCCTCGACCTGCTGGGCTCTGGCAATCCTTCCGCCTCAGCCTTCCAAGTAGCTGGAACTACAGGCACGTGCTACTACACTCGGCTAATTTTTTGATTTATTGTAGAGATGAGGTCTCGCCAAGTTGCCCAGGTAGGTCTCGAACCAGCAGGCTCAGGCAATCCACTCACCTCAGCCTCCCAAAGGCACGGGATTACAGGCTGAGCCACCAAGCCCGGCTTCAACATGTTTTTTTAAAAGCAAAGAAGAAAAGTTTCCAAGTTGGTTTAAGTTTTTTATACTCTCGTATTGCCTCCAATGTCTTTGAATACGATGTCCATGTGGCATAATTTAAGCTTTTTCCCTAACAGAACCAGGATATAATGAGCCCATGAAAATTCCAACTCAGTCACTGCTACAGGACGTTGCAGGACAAGCAAGGAAAGAAAAAGTGAAGTTGCCTCATTATCTGCTGAGTTCCAAGCCCAAGTCTCAGCCTCTCACAAAGGTAAATGGATCTGGGATCCAGCCCCCCAAAGCCAGTCGGCATTTTATGTCGTTCTGATTCACTGAAGTTATCAGGTTCCAGCCGCTGTGTACTGGCTGCTGATCGCTGGATCCACCATCTCACCATGAAGGGCTTTGAGTCACACACGTAAACTAAGATCGTGCTTTCTCTGCTGGAGTTGGCTCACACGGGCTCATGGGAGAAATTTTATGAGCCAGTGGTCACGCCATTGATAGCCTGAAATCAGCCATGCTGGGAGTCTTTATACCATGAAATTGGTAAACGTTACGCATCAAAATTATTTTCAAAGAGCGAGTTTGCCAGGACACTGCTGGCTTAAAAGGATCATTGGCCACCGTTCTCATGTCTCTTAGATAAAATTCAAACGACTTAGTATGCATACCGAGGATGGCCCATTTTTCTTTACCCTCACCTTGACTCAAACTCACCGTGATTAGGTCATTGTGGGTTTCTCTTCATTCTTTAAAAGCACTGAGCTCTTTTCTTCCCCAGAGCCTCTAAGATTAAGATTCTGCCCGGTTCTGTTGGAAAACCTTCTGGAACCCATTAGTCAAGTTTTGAAAGTTCTACTTTTTGTGTGTTCTTCCGTGGCACACCATGTTCATCTCCATCATATAATTTATTCTAATGTATGTAATCAGTATGTGATTATAGTGCTTCTCAAACTTTAATGTGCATAGGAACCACCTGGGGATCTTGTTAAACTGGATTTGGTGTGGGGCCTGAGATTCTGCAGTTCTAATGAAATCCCAGGTGATGTCGGTGCTGCCAATCTAGGGAATAATAAGGGCATAGAGCAATAGTTCCCAAAGTGTGATTACCTGACCCATAGCATTGGCAACACTGAGAACTTGTGATAAATACAAAATCTTGGGCCCCACCCCAGACCTACAGAATGAACAGCTCTGGGGGTGGAGTCAGCAAACTGTCTTAATGAGTCCTCCAGGAGAGTCTAATGGAAACCAACGTTCGGAGACCACTGGCACAGAAGAGCACAGACTTTAGAATCAGGCAAACTTGAGTTTGAAACTTTGCTCTGCCACTTACCACCTGAGCAAATGATCTGTCTTTCAATTCTCTGGGTTTGAGCTTCCTCATCCTTGGTAAGAAGCAGAAAATACGTCCTTATAAGACCGTTGTATGGATCACATGAGACTGTAAATTATTTTAACCTCTAGTAACCGGGATTTTTTTTCTTGGGAATTCAGAACAGGACCATTTTATTTTGTTGATTTTTTTCTGAATGCAAAGGTGCAAGATTCCGTTGGAGGAAAAGTGAACACCTCGTCTGTTGCATCTGCGGCCATTAATAATGCAACGTCGTCCCCTTTCGGGTTCCATCTTCTCCCTTCTTCGGTGAAGTTTGGAGTGCTTCAAGAAGGACACACCTATGCCACCGTCGTCAAGCTCAAGAACGTGGGAGTGGACTTCTGCAGGTGAGGCCAGGGCACCGCATTTCTGTACAGGCCACCTTGTCCCATTCTGTACCTTGTCTCTGGCCACCTACGTCAGCGATTGTTCATGGAACTGAACTGTAATTACACCTTGAATCTTCACAGTATTTATTGCATCATGTACACATTAATTCACCCATTCATTTATTCATTCATGCTTCAACAAATCAATGGTAGATGTTTCCTTGCCCTCTCGTTAGTCATTCATTATTCATACTTGGGTAAAAGCAACTCATGTCCTAATGTACACTAGCAAAAAACAAGGAGAGGTTAGACAAGTGTTGCAATAACTAGTGCTCAAAACTTAAAAGTCTTTCTCAAATCTAATTAATTAGAGTAATACACTTGTACTTTACGATCTGAAAAGCGCTTTTAATTCCATATTTCCATGTAATCGAGGCGAAGACCTTAGAGACTATTATAAAAGAACAGAGTCATTTGTTTTGAGGTCTTATGGGCTAGAGTGAGATTAGACTACCACATGGAGGTCCCTCGCTTTATGCACACAGGGGTGGCCACCTGTTTCATGTGAGATTTCAGTCCTTTTCATGGGGTCAGTATACCATGTACTTATATAAGACCACTCCCAATTACAAAATGTCCGCTATTCTGTTTCGAATTAAACATAAACATAATGTGGGTTCTTTCTCCCATAAAATGGGATAAATGTTTATTTCAGTCACAGAGTTATTCTCAGCGTAAGTGGCAAGTCCTTCAAGAGTGTTTGTGATTCTGGACCCAGGACTGAAAATCAGATAGAGCTAAATGTTAGGGGCATCCAATTTGAGAGATGCCTGTCCCACTTCAGTTGAGGCAAATCTCCAGCTTCAGTAAAAGCCCGATGAGGGACTGGGGTCACTAGATCATCCATGATTGTTTTTGAGGTTGCAGCCAACAAAGTGGGTGGGAAGAAATACAGTCAACCTCAAATCAATAAAAATCATTCGTGCAGATCCTGTCTCTCCCGCATAGATTTTAGTTTTAAGGTTTCACTCCTCAGCTTGTTAAAGCCAGCCACGACAGGGCAGACAGCAAGGCTAACGGCAGAAGGAGCAGAGTTGGGGTCAGCGGGGAGGTAGGCTTTCCTGGCATTTTAATTTACTCCAGGTCTTTAACCTTCAGGCAGAACCCACAAACCACAGGAAGGGGAAGATATCAACAAGCACCATGTGTGAGCACGGAGCTTTTCAAGTTCCTTGACATTTTCTGAGCCCTTTCTGTTTCAGCCCTGCTCAAACATGTGAGCCCCATACCAAGACAGAGCAAGACTGACTCCCGCGCGCCCCTGCCTTCCAAAAGGGCCTTTATTCTTCAGCTTAATGAGCTGGCGGCCAGCATTGTGTGTTCACACTGGCGGCTACGCTGAAATGCACGCGCCCGCCAACCCCGCCTGCTGCCCAGGCTTGGGCTGCCACCAATAACGACGGGTTGAAACTCGGGTTGGGGCCCGTTTTACACTGGCGAAAACTGCTGGAAAGGCAGTTGTGAAATGGGACCCAGACAGTCTCCCCGTTGACGATTAAGATTGTTTTTCTCATGGTGGGGATCCCCGGCTCCCGGGTAGCAAATATTAACACCTTCCTGATTTTATAACATCCCAGCTCACTTGTTGCTCATGTTTTTCATTATGGCATAAATTTATTTTCATCTTTCTGCCTGGTAGGTTTAGGGTGAAGCAGCCGCCACCCAGCACAGGACTGAAAGTGACTTACAAACCTGGGCCTGTAAGTCCTACGTGGTACCTGGTGTGTGTGTGTGTGTGCCTGTGAGTGTGTGCAAGTTTCCAGGGAAGTGAGCTTTTAAATCATTCCACCCATTCAGTTTAAACTATGTATAAATCTAATTTTTCTAGTACCAGAAGCAAAAGATTCCCGGTATGGATACATATGTGGCTTGACGTCACTCATTTCTTGTGACAGATCCTATGTGCAAATAGTTAAACTTCCAGCTATGGAGACGTTTCTTAAGCTCATCCCACTCGACCCAGTTCAGTGATTTACCATTGTAGGAAAACTCCCTTTCAAAAAATTCAATCCTTGGCTGGTTGTGGTGACTCACACCTGTAATCCCAGCACTTAGGGAAGCTGAGGTGGGAGGACTGCTTGAGCCCAGGAGTTCGAGACCACTCTGGACAACATAGTGAGACGTTGTCTCTATAAAAAAATCAAAAAGTTAGCCAGGTGTGGTGGAGTGTGTCTGCAGTCCCAGCTACTTGGGAGGTTGAAGCAGAAGGGTCACTTGAGCCCAGGAGGTCGAAGCTGCAGTGAGTTGTGATCATGCCACTGCACTCCAACCTGGGTCAAGAGTGAGACCCTGACTCTAAATAAATAATTGCCAGGCGAGGTGGCTGACTATCTGTAATCACAGCCCTTTGGGAGGCAGAGGCAAGAGGATTGCCTGAGCCCAGGGGTTCGAGACCAGCCTTGGCAAAATGGCAAGACCTTGCCTCTACAATAAATTTTTTAAAAATTAGCTGGGTGTGGTAGCGCGTACCTGTAGTTCCAGCTGCTTGGAAGACTGAAGTGGAAGGATCACCTAAGCCCAGCAGGTAGAGGCTGCAGAGTGAGACTCCACCTCAAAAATAAATTAACTAATTAAATAAAATAATTAAATACATTATTATGCCAAGGTGAGAAAGTTTTTGGAAAAATTATTTTATTTTATGTAAATCTGGTTTGCTCTCTTGTTATTAGGCAGGGAGTATGATTTATAGCCATACTGATAAATAATAGTGTATTTATTAAACTCATCCCCTGCCTCATTTCTCCAGAGATCTCTGAAAACACAAATTTTTAAATGTCAACCTATTCTGACTATATTTGATATATTCCCCGAAATGAGATGTTTAGTTAAAAAAATGAACTAATAGTATAGTCCCACTTATTTTAAATTATAATTTCAGAACCATATGTAAATAGATGACATAAATAAAAGTTGATCTCAAAATGGAATTTAATCCAACTCATAAGTCTTGATCAGTGCGTCATCCGGCTGCTCTTAACACCCCTTTTACCTCACTCAGCAAACCTTGAGCTCTTCACATGCCAGCGATACTGCCAGGGCACCAAGGATGTCAAAAATGAGTAAGACACATAAGGAACTTACAGAGCCAGGGACTCAAGAGGTGTGGAACTCAGTAACAGAATGAAGTGAGGAAGTCTGGTAGATACCTGACCCATTCATCAGGAGATGGGAGAAATGCCTAGATTCATGAGAGCAGCAAGCAGGGCATCCAGCCTCCTTAACTAGTGCCCAGTGCTCCCTGAGGCTGAAGCTCTTGCGTGCTCACACAGAAAGGTCAGCTTGGAACAGTGCAAAGTCAACTGGTTTCTTGTCACAACTATGCCACCAAGCATAGTGATGCTGGTGGCTAACACTGAGCCTTGTTTTCCGCATATGCAAAGAGGGAGTTCAGAACAGATGATTTCTTAGCCCACTTCTAGCTCAACGTCTTGCTTTACAGAAAACAGTCGTTTGCAGGCTAAGACTCCAAACAGAAATACACTTTGAGATTAAGTCCACTCATTCATGGGTACCTTTCTGAACTAACTCGTCACTGTACTGTGTCAAGATTTCAGAACCTTCAAAACATAAGGCGAAAGACAAAAAATCAAAGCAAGACCTTGTCCCACTGTTCTGGGAAGTTAGCAAATCTCATTTTAATTTAAAGGAAGGGTTATGCCAAAAGCCAAAATGACTGCTGGATCAACCTTTTATAGGTACTAAAACCCAGCATGTATTCTTTGAAGCTCACTCTATACCGTAAGATTTTTTTTTTTTTTTTTTTGACGGTAGGTTTTGGCTCTGGCAGAAAATATAATCTATAGACTTCTCCATATGTAAATCTAACTGCAGCTCGGTTTGGTTAGTTGCCAACACTAAATGAATATGCTCAAAGCCTGGGCAAGCCTGTATAATGGCAGGATTCCAGCTCTCCTCATGCTGCATTTCAAGATTACCTGGCCCTGCTCTGACTGCTGGGCCTGGAGAACTAAGGGTCAGCTGTTGGATACTCTCCAGGATGCATACATTCACAAGCACACTGTTGGGGCAGGGCAGGGCGGGAGAGTTTCAGTTCTATTACTTACAAAATTACACTGAAGAAAAAATTCCATTTGTAGCTAACTGCTTTCCATGTGGTAGTTTCTGACTTACTTTTTCCAGATACCAGTTCCCAAGTCTGCTCTTGAATCTGCCTCCTGGAGAGGCAACTTAGAAGCATAAACAGCTCTTTCTTTCCCGGCTAATGCTCTTTTCAAGGAACAAGGCAAGAGGCCCATGCCTGGCCATGCTCCCTCTTCTTCAAACGTCAGGTTTCTTCTTTGGTGGTGCAGTCCTCTTCCTGGAGCTTTCAGAACCAAGCAGTTTGGCGTTTCAGCGCATCCTGTCTCCCTCTGCTGGCTTTATCATTTTGCACATCCTGCATTAGGAATACTCTTACAAGAGGCAGGAGTTCACAGGTCCCTTAACTTTAAGATTAAACTTAGGTCAGGTTACACTGATCTCTAATTGCAAGGATGCCAGTAAATAGAAATTCACTACTGACATGCAAAAACAAGCACAGTGACAAGTACCAGCGCCACTTCCGATACTCTACCGTTTAGTTTCCTTATGCTTTTCCCCAAATGGCACCTGGTTTGCTGGTCTGCTCTTATAACTTACCCTGCGTCCCACTTACTAAATGGAATTCTACCTATGAAGCAATTTTGCTAAATGCTTATAAATGTTACCATGTATTCATGCCAAATTTACAGATGAGAAAAACTGAAGAAAGTTGAAGTTACTTGGTCAAATTAGTGCTAAAACCAAGGTTTGACCCTGGATATGTCCAATTCTAAAAGCTTCCTTGTGTCTTACAGGTGGCAGCTGGTTTGCAGACAGAACTGAAGGTGGAGCTATTTGCCATGGCTGTTGGTGAGGAGGGTGCCAAGGGATTAGTACACATCTTCCACAATATTGAGATTATAACGGAGCATGATGTTCTGTTCTTACCTGTGGAAGCAAATATCCTTTAAAGTTCCATCTGAGTAATCACACATAGTGCAGAAATTACATGAGTTAGGAAAACATGGAAATCAACATGCATCCCCAAATCTTCATCAATTCTATCTTTAGATCATGGAGTTAAATTTCGTAAGACAAAGACTGTGTGTCTCCCTCCATTTATCTCTGAGAGCATCTAGCCAAATCGAAAATATACCTGACACATAGTACATGTGCAATAACTGCAAGTTTAATCAATGCAAATATTACGGGCTAACTATGGGATATCAAACAAAAATAAAAATGCAGGTGTCTGTCATCAAAAACTATTTGTAATCTTCTAGGGAGATGGGTGATAACTTCTTATTGTAAAGGTTGGGTATTTGCTGAATTACGCATACGTTCCTGCATATTAATTTCTCTAGCCATAAAGATATTATACAGATATCAAGTACCTATTATCTGTAAGGTACCATATGCAATATTTTATCATATATAAAAATGGATAATTGGACTCCATCTTAAAAGATGTTATATAGTCGGGCTCGATGGCTCAGCCTGTAATCCCGTGCCTTTGGGAGGCTGAGGTGAGTGGATTGCCTGAGCCCGCGGGTTCGAGACCCGCCTGGGCAGCGAGACCTCATCTCTACAATAAATCAAAAAATCAGCCGGGCGTGGTAGTGCATGCCTGTAATTCCGGCTACTTGGAAGGCTGAGGCGGAAGGATCGCCGGAGCCCCGCAGGTCGTGGCTGCGGTGGCCGGGAGCGGCCATTGCACTCCAGTTTGGGTGACAGAGTGAGACTCCAACTCAAAAAAAAAAGATGTTATATAATCTAGCAGCAGAAATAGTCTTCACATTGTGTAAAAGCTACTTTGTACTCCTCCAATGATATAAATCATAAACTGCTTATGTTATAGTTCTGTACCTATTTAATATTTAAGCTAGGTCTTATAGAATGTGAAAACTTTTGATTAAGTTACCTTACATAGTTCTTATATATAGGGACACGGGTGAAAGAGAAGGTAGGGTGGGGTGGGGAGGAAACTTCCAACTCTGAGGTAGAACCCACTGGGTGAAGGAAGGAAGAGAACATAAGAGTTTGACTCCAAAGTTCTGGGCTCAGGTAATGAATCATGGATATGCAGGACTGGGCATCTGTTGAGAAGTCAGAGCTGGAGATGTATCAATCCTGAGCATCATCTACACAGAAGTGATGGTTGAGTTATGGTAAAGGAGCACAAATTGGGGGTCTGTTTAGGGAGCAGGAGGAAGAAAGGAAGCCTCAGAAACAGAACCAGCAATTAGAAAACCATGAACTATCTCAGAAGCCATTGAAAGAATTTCAAGGGAAAGATGAATACAGTTGACAGGTGCTACAAAGGTGTCAAGGAGAAAGAATGTTAAATTTGGTTGGGACTAAAACTAAATTGCAAAAGACAAAAAAAAAAATGACCAAGTGTTAAGAAAGCAGAAACATTATGGATACTCTTTCAAGGAAATGTATTAAAGGAAAGAACAAGAGAATATGGTACCTCAATGGTGCACAGAGCAAAAGAGGGATTTTCAGTATAGTGTAGATCTAAGTATGTTTGTAGGTTGAGGATGGATCAGAAGAGAAACACTAAAAATATGAATGAGTAGAAGTAATTGAAATTGCAATTGCCAAAAAAGGGCAAGAGAGTACTCAAGAGCAGAGTTGAAGTGGTTAATCTTGGCAAGGGAGAAGCTGAAGATGGCTGAAAATCCAGACATTCTGAGGCGAAAGAAAGTTAAACTCATGTCAAATGGCACTGATATCAATAGACATGGAGTTGAGTTCATGCGTTCATTTATTCTTTCAAAGATAGTAAGTGCCTATAACGTGCCAGGCATTGTTCTTGACACTGGGGATAAAACAATGAACAAAAGAGACAGAAATCCCTGCCTTTATATGGGTTAAATTCCAGTGGGAGGACAGACAGACACAAAATAAGTACAATATGGACTAAGATGGCAATAAGTACAAATATGGAGAATGATAAGGAAGATTACAATTTAAAATGTGGTCAGGAAAGATGTCACTGAGAAAGTGATTTTACTTTATTTTTTTTTTAGTGACGATGATAGGGTTCTTTCATTGTGATAGGAGAAAAGTAGCCAAAGAACCAGTTTTTCTCTGGGAATTAAATCAAGCCCACTTATCCTTTTCATACAAGTTATTGGATGTGGACCTAGAGTATCTGAATCACTGCTGCTGATCATAGCAATGAAATCATTTGCATTTGTGCTAATGAATTTTCTATTTCCTTGCTTATATATTAGAGACCACGTGCACAGATAGACGGGGAAAATAGTTTTATTAGATCTTTTGTCTACTTCCAGTATCAACAAAGATAGTTCATAGCCCATTTACCAAATCTATCACTCTCTCTACCCCCAAAAAAGCACAAAATCTGATATAGAGGTGGTTTGGGCCTAGTCATGGTAATGGCTCCTTATAGAAAGCCACTCACAGGAGAGAAATGTATCCTAGGGAGAACAGAAGACATTATAAGACACTGTGATGTTCATCCTCTAATCCATAAGCCCGAGAACATAACACCTGCACTAGACAGAAGAGTACCTAAAACTGAACAACTGTTCCTAGAGAAGAGATTCTGTAATTCTAAAGATATTTGGGTTTGTATAAACAAATCATTTAATCACAAAAAGCATAGTCCTTAACGAGTATTTTACCAATTTTAACAAGCAGCAATTATGACAATCGACCAAAAGATTTTCCCCAGGGAAAAGAAAATCCCACGGTCCAGAGAACTTCTACAGTACCTTCCTCCACCCTTGGAGTTTTCACGTCTCGTAACATTTCTTCACATTAGGTCCAGTAAGCAATAAATGGAATGTGACTGTCAGCCATTCAAATTTGAGGCATCAGACCTCTGGCGTGTTCCCCTCTTCTTATCTCCAAGAAGCCACCTGGCCTGATGGAATGAAAATATTTGCTTCAACAACTATAATGGTTACTCGGGGAGGCCCCACAATGTTTTTGGAGGGAGGGTCCCTTGTAGTACAGGCCTCCCTGCTAGGTGTTCTAGGAAGCCATTGGCATCAGTGTACCAGCTAGCGTTGTCTTCAGAGGCTGCAGTCAGCTTCAGTGAGTTTTGTTTTGGAGATTCTTTCAATACATCTGTCCATGTCATGATGGGGGATTCATGGGTGCACCTGTGCACACCACACTGCGTGTTCAGCAGTTTTTGGCCAAAAGTGGCATGACCCCCATGTCCCAAACTCCCTGTTTACCTGACCTCTCCCCAAGGGACTTTCTTGTTTCCCCGGATGAAAAAAGTCCTCAAAGGGAAAGGTTTTGAAAATGTGCAATACGTGAAACAAACCATGGCAGAGACACTAGAAAGCACCAAAATTGATGAGTTCAAAAACTGTTTTGATCAATGGAAAAAGCATCTCGATAGACATATTGCATCAAATGAAGAGTGCTTGGAAGGTGACTGAAGTTTCAACATATAAGAATACACAATTTTTTATAAATAAATTCTGGTTTGGGGGCGTTCCCTCCTCATATAGCCAGTAAGACTAAGGCAACAGATGCTGACTTAATGACTAGCGATCTGCTTGGCTTAAAATTCACTTTGTAATGTGTCTACTGACCTCAAACCTTTAGGGATAAAGAGTTCCAAATACTATGATGAAAATTTCTAACTCAGCTATTTATTGTACATAGCACTTGATCACAAGTTCCCCTTCTTTTTGATTAGTGTCACACTTATGAAACAAAAACACCTTTAGTTTCCCTAGTTCTATAAGGACAATCGATCATAAATGCTAGCAAAACTGTGGGAAAGCAGCACTTTTTTAGCAAGAGCAATGTGAGCAGTTATTAATCACAAACAATGTGGATTCAGCCACCGTTCTTATTTTTAAGATTATTATTTTTAAGGTCATACACTTGGATATAGACAGAGGTCGACGGCATGCAAAACAAAAAAAACAAACAAACAACAAAAAAAAGATTATTATTTTTAAGAGACAGAGCCTTGCTCTGTTACCCAGGCTGGAGAACAGTGGCATGATCACAGCTCACTGCAGTCTTGAACTCCCGGGTTCAAGTAATCCTCCCACTTCAGTTTCCTGAGTTACTAGGACCACGTGCATGCACCCCATCACACCCAGATAATTTTTACTTTTTTATGTTTTTGTAGAGACGGGGTCTCACTATGTTGCTTAGGCTAGTCTTGAACTTCTGGCCTCAAGTGATCCACCCACTTGGCCACCCAAAGTGCCCAGCCTATTTTTCAATAATTAACTGCTCTCTCTGGTGGCAGGACTAGCTGCCCAAAGCAGACTGAACCCTTGGACAGCACCTACCATGCATCACACTATCTATTCTCTTGTCTTTTCACAGTTAAGCCTTCAGAAACTCTATGTCACAGTTCACATATCTTATTCTGCCCAGCAAATAATGCTACTATATTCCTTATCCTGCTTCAGTGATTGTACTATGCTCAAGAACATTAACAGATTTGTGGTTTGAGTCACAAATTGCCAGGCCACAAGAACTGCGGCTCTGAGCCTGGGAAGAAAATGGTGACACCACAACATAATACCTTAGAGGAAATGAATAAATTCATAGAAAGATGAAAACCGGAATGGGTTTCAAGAAGATACAGAAAATCTGAATGGACTGATAACAAGGAGTATAAATTCATAATTTTAAAACTTCTCACAAAGAAAAGCCCAGGCCCAGAGATTGCTGTGTCAATCTCCTTTCCTAGAACACTCCCACTTCCCCAAATCCCTGCCACAAAGATACACAATTGACAACTGAACTCGGGTTTGAACTGCACAGGTTTTTTCCATAAATATGCGCAATTTATTTCCATAAATAAACTGTGCAGGTTTTTTTGGAGGTCTGAAACAATTTGAGAAGTCACAAACCACATAACCTAAAAATACTGAAAATTTTCAGAAAAAGTGAGGTATGTCATGAATACATAAACTACATATTTTACTGTTATAAACTACACGAAAAGCTATTATTTAAAACACCAAAATCTGCAGACTGTACATGGCACCAGTCACAGATGAGAGATGCAAACATAAAGATGCAGCATTCAATCCTAACTGCGTAAAACTAACTATACTACATGCTTTACTACTGTAATAACCTCATAGCCACCCTCTGTTGCTATTGTGGCGAGCGCAAGTGTTTTGAGTGTCCGCTTAAAATGCCACGTGATGCTAGCCACCTGTTTTAAGGGTTCCTCTCTCCAGTAAAGTGCATATCACAGTCAAAAGGGTCCCCTGGGGTTCTTGCGTGCATTTCACTGTGTTTAGGGCGACACTGTCAGCCCTGAATAACACGACAGGACCCATACGACGCGCCACTAGCGATGCCGAGAAAAGTCACATTACTGGAGAAAGCTGAGCTGCTCAATATATACTGCAGACTGAGGCCTGCAGCTGGGGCTCTGGTCGTTCCAGACAAACTCGCAGCATGGATACATACTGTACAATACTGTAAAGGTACTTTCTCTTATGAGTTTACTAACATTTTTTCCTCTAGCTTACTTTTTGTTAAGAATATATCATATAATGCATATAGCATACAAAATATGTGTAAATTGACTGTTTATGTCATTGGGAAGGCTTCTAGTCAAAAGGCTTAACTTTTAGGGGTGTCAAAAGCGGGTGTGGCTAGTGCCCTTAAATCCCATGTTGTTCAAGGGCCAACTGTATATATAATTATAGCTACATACAGAGTGTATTAATTACTCAGAAGACCACCCTATCTGAATATCTTCGCCTGACTACTCTTTAACTAGAAATAACTTTTATTCAGAAAAGTATAAATAGTTAGCAATTAGGATCTTCTTATATACAGATGTAACAACAGTCTGCAAGAGGTTAAGTTTAAGAAGTCTGTTCTAGATCATTTTAAAGGCCTTTTTTAAGCTCCAGAAGTCCATTAACACCGAATTTATGGAGAGGGCAATCAATCATTCACCTGATTATCTCTTAGGTGGTAAAACCTAAAATAAAGTGACAAACACACAACAGATCATCTATCAGAATTACAAAAAACTTTTGAAATGTTCATTTAAAAAATTATTTGCTGTAATATAAGGGGAATAACTCCGGTAGGGATCAAACTCTGAGAACACAAGGATTTTTAAATTACTTGTGCTATTTAGGACCAAGAAACGGAGCCAGCCCATAATCCCACATTCGAACTCCCTCAGACAAAGCTTGGAATCATCTTCTGCAACACGATCTTCTGTTTGGTATTTTTAAGATGATGCCAACTCTACTGCTGCTTAGTTTATAAGTCCTTTTAAGGAAAAAGTGAAAAAAAGGAACCACATTTCAGTTCTAAGTCAATGTTAAAATTAGCTTCTCCCGCTTTTTCCTCTTCCTTTTCTTCTCTTCCAAGTGACTAGTAGCATCAGCAAAAAACATAACTTCACTTTTTGCCTCGCATTCTCTCTTGAGATAATCAAGACCTGCCATATTGAAGCCGATAACATCCTGGAGAGGAATACAAGAAAGGTTAAATAAACTTCCTCCCACTTCAATTCATTATAGCAGAATATGTGAGTCAGGGAACCAAACGTTTCTCCTTTCCTTGCTAAGGACTTCTGTTTGTTTTTTTCCCTATTCCAATTCCGACAAAAACTATCTCAGATGTGGATTTATGGCTGGTCAGTACTGATAAAGACAAAGCACAGCACGCTGTGCTACTTCTAAGGAACACATTCACTAGGGTTTTGCCTCGTTAGTCCATCTCTTTGCAAAGGCACTTACCCGGACTTGGCTGACTTTTGAAATAGTTGTTTCCTTTAATTTTTCTATCACTGGAACAAGCATTTGATTGCTAGTGATCTGTCCAAAGTGAATCCTAATAGAAACACAAAACAAAGCCACGTTGTAAAGAGAAGTTCTGGTCCTATTTATCCCTTCTAGAAGAGACACAATATCAAGACAACAACAACAAAGTACAGACTCATGTCACCATAACATGGAAGTATAGAAAAGCTTCTAGTAAAGCATTCAGTTCAGTTTGATGAAATCCACTATTCAGCCAGTTTGATGAAATCTTAAAGGTAACTACTTACCCAGCAAATCTGCCATGTGGCCAGATTCTGAAAATGGCATTTTATGGAAAGCTCAAAGACAGAATGAAACATCTAAGAAATGCTAACTCAACAAAGATTTATTAATATCTCTAATAAAGCCACAGCAAAAAAGAGTCATCGATCAGAGTCCAACTCTGACCTAGAGTAGCAAGATATCCTTGATGACCCCTGCCATTATCTACCTGTTAGATACCGTCTACAATCCTCTGATACACTATAAGTATCAGTGTTTCTCAGAGAGCCAGTGACCCTGATTCAACAGCACATATGCCATCACAGCAAAAAGTTATTAGTAATAATGTTAAATATATCCTTGCTACTTGCCCAAAATTATGAATATGGCAACAGAATAATAAATATATTATTATTATTCTCTTGCTACTATCCTGATAGAATATAAGGAATGGTTAAAAATCACAAAACCAGGCCAATCCACCAAATATCTATCCAGTCAATTCACTATTTGGCACTGGCTGACCAGCTTTTGCCTTCATAACAGTGTTTCAAGGAATGTTCAATTCGTTTCTGTCCCTGTTAGGCTGTAACAACTTGAGAGTGAGGGTCAGAGAGTAGGAAGACAAGACTATATTCTTAAGCCTTTGTACATATAGTCTTCTCAATCACATATTAACGAGGACGTCTTCATATTTAAGAACATAGCCTAATGAACATATTCCTTTTATGTTCCTTAGGTTTCCATATGCACCCGTAGAGAACTGGAGAAATAAACTGACTTCCTTAAAATGCTGCTACAAGGACAAAACAAAACCAGTTAGCTTAAACTAAACAGTTTAAAAGAAACAACAAATGAGACAAACTGGCATTTAGTAACTGATTTTCAGCTAACAAACTAGAACCAGAGCTACTTACTATCTTAAACTGCAATGAGGAGGCCTTTGACTGAGTAAGCAATTTCTGGGCAATGCGCCACACCATTACATATTACCAGAGAAAGGAGTCATCACTATTCTTGCTCTAAAGGCAAGAGTGATTCCAAAGGATAAGAGAGAGTTTATGTCAGACAGCACTGAAAATCAGTCTCTGAAACGGAAACACAAGATTTCTTAATCCCAAAGCTCTGACAGCTTCATTTAAGGTACTACTGAAGCAGTTCCACTGGGTAGATATAGTATTATTTGGAAAAGGATGTTACCTGAGGAGAAAAAAGAGGCATCTGCATAGAAGTTCAACATCAGAGCCCAGCTGAATGAATTCGTTAAGGAGTTTTAGAATATCCGGGACATAAGAAAAAGGTAGCACAAGTAAAGATTCTTCCAGCTCACTGAAGAAGAAGCACAAATATTAAAAATGGTCACATATCTTAACATGGTCTATTTTTAAATTTTTTCCTTTATTATTTTTTTCTAGTGATAACATTTTAATCTATTTAGAATGCATTTTGGTTCATAGCACGGTGGGAAAAACTTAACTCCCCCCCCAGATAAAGAATTTCTTCAAAGCCTTTTGAGAAATATTCCATCCTTATATGACATCTCTTTTACCATACATTACACAAATCCTACACTTGTTTTAATTTTACTAATTGTATAGCTCTTTATTCTAGACCAGCTCTCTCTAAAACTAGCTCAAGCATCATATTTCATCAGTTCCGGTTAGAAATCCTAAGAGGATTTCAATGGGGAAGCACAGATCTATTCATTAGTTTAAGAAAAACTAGCTCTTTAAAACACAGAATCTTCCCATCTTGGAATGTCATACTGTCACTCCATTAATCAATTTTCTTTCTCTAGCAATGTTTCCTTGTCATCCTCAGACAGGTCTTGTTTATTTCTTAAAAGGAATATACTATTTAGATATTGTGATTTATTATGACAATGATAATCTTCAGTAGGTCAAATTCATAAATAAAAAGATAAATCACAAATAATGTAACAGTATACTAAAAATTTTTTATTCTTAAAGAACAAAGAAATTAAGGAGCAAAAAGATAATAACTAAAATTTCACAAGAAAAAATACAAATGGTCAATAAACATGCTAAAATGTTGACTTCATTAATAATCAAAAGAAATGAAAATAATACAATATTACCTTCTGCTTCTCAAGCTGGCAAGAAATTTAAAGCCAGGTGAAAATTAGTACCAGCACTCTGCAAAGTAACCTGGCAATATAAACCTTTAACTAGCTCATGGCTGGGTTGGGTGGCTCACACTTATAATCCCAGGACTTTGGGAGGCTGAGGTGTGATGATTGCTTGAGCCCAATATCTAAATAGTATATTCCTTATAAGAAATAAACAGGAGTTGGAGGAGTTGGAGACCAGCCTGGGCAATACAGCGAGACCCTACGTCTACAAAAAAATCAAAAAGCTATCTGGGCATAGTGGCACGTACCTGTAGTCCTAGCTATTTGGGGGTTGAAGTGGAGGATCACCTGAGTCCAGGAGGTCAAGGCTGCAGTGAGCTGTGAGTGTGCCACTGCACTCCAGCCTGGGCGACAAAGTGAAACTTCAACTCAAAAATAATGAATAAATAAATAAATAGCTCGTGCCCAATGATCAGTTATTAGGTTGCTAGGACTCTTAAGAAAAATAATCAATAATGATAAAAATTTACGTGTAATAGTGCTCATTGAAGCATTATTGATAATGCAAAAAATAAGAAACAAATGCAACATCCAACAGTAATTACTTGTACTTGAATGAAGTATGTATTTTTGAAGAAGAATAAGCAAGTGTTCAGGAAATATGTAAAAAAAAAAAAAAAAAATACATAAAACTTTTAACGATTCCAATTTTGTATGTACTCAGAAAATAAGCCAAAGGAAATATTTAGCAATGTTAACAGCTGGTACTTCTGACTGAATTATATATTACTTAATTACCCACAATACAAATTCTTACCCTTCATCTGTCCTTGAAAGCATCTCCCTTAATACTTTAAGAGGAGCCTAATTCTAGCACTTCACAAAGAACATTACAATAAATCATTTTCCATCTAAACTTTGATATAGTGGAACCTCTAAGAAGACAGCCATCAAGTATAATTTCCATTTCACGTTCATGTAAGTATTTGATAAAACATTATCAGCTGTTAGACGGCAACAATGGCACACTAGAACTCACCTTGACTTGATCCCTTTAAAAATCTCTAACACATAAGCTGAAGGCTATAAAGAAAGGAGAACACCATCAGTGACACTCGTGGTTGGTTTCTAACACTCTAATTTTCATCAGCTACAAAACAGGGACCCAGCTCTTTCACTTTGGAAAAAGTGTTCTAAAATGGCACAATCTGCATGGGCTCAGAGTTAGCCATATTTGGGTCCACAACCAAGCTCTACTACCCCTTACCAACCATGTTACCTTATAAGTCAGGCTAGTTTCCTTATCTATTAATGAAAATATGATGACTCATAGATGATTATTGTGATGAATGAGACATGCAAATAAAATGCTAAGTAAGTATAGACTGCTAGATAAACATACATCCTCTCCCCCCTTCATCTTATCTGACTGATTTATGCCAACCTTTCCTCCAAAAGCTCACTCTACAGTTCATTTCGATAAATAGAATATTCACAGAGCTCTAGACACTGAACATAAATAAGCTCTAGAAAACAGAAGAATGCCAGTCCAGTCCAACCAAAAAGGCTGGCTTGGGAAGTTACTCTAAAGCGAGCCTTTTGAAATACAAAATATACTAGAGGATGCCAAGATTTGAGAGAGGTTTTTAAGGACAATTCCTAATGCTTCCATCCCCAAAACACGCCTCTTCACTTCCTCTCATTTCTGGAAGTAACCTTGGAATAACCAAGTGAAAACTGTTAGACATTCTACTCACTGAGATATTGCCATAAGCCATAAGGACGGGGTTGACGGGAAGAGGAACCTATGAAAAAATTATTAAATCAAGTCATTACAAAAATGAGACTTTGATAGTCACAGATAGGGTAGTAGCAGTACTTGATAATTTTGAAAAGAAAAAAGAGACCCTAAAAAACTGAAAGAGTATAAAAGGCTTATCAAGTCTTTTCATTTTTATCATATTTAAGAATGGGTTTGGACAATGCATTTTATCATAAATCTGAAATGGTTACCTTGCCCCCCAAACCAAAGTGGGAGCATGAGTTTCTGGTCAGTACAATAATCACCTCAATCTATAATTTCCTAACCTTCCCTTTTTATTAAGACCAAGTTTCCAACCTCTCATAGTTCCTCACTTTCTTCTGAGTTAGAAAGTCTATTGCATTTATCTCATATCCTAATCTTAGTTAATGAAATCCTGAAGCAATAACTTTCTTCTTAAGAATTCTCTTTATTGGTAAATATTTCCCAAAGTGTAACTTGATGTACAATGTACCTCTTTCCCTGCAGCTTTACAAATGGCTTTGTGTTCTTTCATTTTTGCAGTTTCTTCTCGGTATAGCTCAATAGCTTCCATGATCCTCTCTGCCTACACAGATGATGACAAGGAAAGAAATCATTACCACATACTCCATCACACCACGATACTGAAACTGGGAGGCATCATGAGGAATTTACCAAACAAAATAGCTTGAATCGGTTTAATAAAGATGTGCCAAAGGCCAAATGGCACTTAAAGCCATCTTTGATTTTGTTTCTTTTTTTTTTTTAATTTACAGGAAGAAGACAAAATGTCATGGACTCAGGTGAGACCTTATCTACTACACAGCTAGAGTAGGGCAGTTCCCAAGAACACCTGAAAGGTGTTCAGAAGAAGATTAAGCTTTCTTTTCCAAAAACCAAACATGCACTGATCAAACAGATTCAGGGCTACTTCTGTCCTTGTTACAAGGGGGAAAAAAAACAGAGATTATGATCTCCATCTTTAAATTTTATCAACTTTTTGCCACAAAAGGGCTATTTTGCTGATACAGAATAAAACTTTTACTAAAGAGTTAAGATCCTTTGAAGAAATGAGATATCACATTCTGTATCAACTTACTGCTTTGACTGTTTCAATAGTTTTCCTTCCAGTAAAATAGCTGTCACCTTGAGTCTCCCCTGGAACCTGCCAGAAACAAAAAGATCCTTGAACGATACTGTCAACAGGAGTTAAAGAGCCAATAAATTTATCGTATAACCATAAAAGAACAGGCACTATTATTTTAAGAAAATGACAACACAGTGTTATCAGCTACCTAGTAGGTTACAGACACTATGCTAAGTATCTTATACATATTATCATAAGAACATTCCACGAACATTTAAAGAGAATGTCCAATTTCTCAAATCATTTCTGACTTTCATTTTTGTTTTACAGTAAATTAAAAATATTTCCCTAAAGCATCCTTAAAAAACAAAAAAAGCCAGAATGACAATTATTCAGTACCAGTCAACCACTTGTCCCACAAAGTCAGGATATACAGCTGAATTAAAAGGATCACACAGATTCTTTCTCATATTAGCCAGTGATGCCTTCAGCATCTAGCTACAATTCTAATTCCAGGCTCAGCCTGTAATCCCGCGCCTTTGGGAGGCTGAGGTGAGTGGAATGCTTGAGCCCGCGGGTTCGAGACCCGCCTGGGCAGCGAGACCTCATCTCTACAATAAGTCAAAAAATCAGCCAGGTGTGGTAGCGCATGCCTGTAATTCCGGCTACTTGAAAGGCTGAGGCAGAAGGATCGCCGGAGCCCAGCAGGTCGAGGCTGCGGAGGCCGGGAGTGGCCACTGCACTCCAGTCTGGGCGACAGAGTGAGACTCCGACTCAAAAAAAAGAAATTCTTAAAATTACAGTAAACTTCAAAAAGATAATTACAGGGCATAATCTCAGTACCCCCCAAATTTTACTTACTGCTGGTTGATCTTCTTTGGCCACACTCTCCTCATATTCTGCTTCCCTTTGCTGCCACAAGACAGATGTAAGTTAATTTGACAGGAAAAAACAAAAACAAAAACAAAAAACATGGTCTCTATATAAAGTGAAATAAAAGCGCTTCTCTTATAACATAAGCCCCTAGTGGCATCTTGCTCTCTGCCCGGCTTCTAACATTGGTGACAGTGGTCTTGGAAAGATCTAAAGGTTCTTGGACTTGCACTGACTCTATGAGGCAGAAAACTTCAACTGCAACATCCTGTCAGACGCCCACAAGAATACATAACTGGTAACCAACCCTGAAGTTCTTACCATCTCCCTTTCTTCTTCAAGAATAAGAGGCTCCCTTGTTCTCTCCCAAAGTCTCAGAGATTTGTCATGGGATGATGAGACAATATAGTCTCCATTGGGGCTTACAGCCAAACACCATATTTCCTGGTGATGCCCCTAGAGAAAGAAAAAACAAGAAATCAGGCAAGAATACCTCATTTACAGATGGTTCTCTGCTTATATTAGTGGGTAAAATAAACATTCTTAAAAGTAGTTAAGCACCGAGCAAGCAAAGTAGGCAAGAGGTTACCTCTAGAGTCTGTATGTGTTCAAATTTGTCTGCGTCCCACTGCTTAATCTTATGGTCTTTTCCAGCAGTGAAGAAGAGGTGAGACTTGGGTACAAACTGCAGGTACATCACACTGAAAAGTGACAGAAGTGTTCAACTGTCATTAGCAAAGAGTCTTCTACACATAAATAGCTTTTGATTACCTTGTTCTAGAGGGTCTGACTATATTTTAGAACTTTCAGTTCATCACTGTCTGATAACACTAAAAATAGACACAGATGCTCTAGGAAATGATACTTACAGGTGGCTCAAAGAGAAGTCTTTGAAAATACTACACCCACCTGTCATCGTGTGCAAAGAGAGACTTATGGCAGTCCCCAAAGTCCAAACCCCAGATTTTCACATTTCTATCAGCAGAGCCCGTTGCAATAAGTGCTCCATCCTATGAGAAGCAAAAGTAAAACAATACTTGAAATCTGATTTTGCATGTTAGATAAATAAAAGCGAACCAAAATATTTACTCATTTCCTTCAATACATTAAAATAAGGCCAAAAAAATTATTTTCATCTCTCTACTAAGAATACCCAATTCTTCACTTTTACCTACAGAGCTTCTTAAAAAGCTGAAGTAAAAACATGAAGTCTATGGCTTAAATACTTTTGGATTTTGTATTGCATAGGCCTTGATGTAGGGTTATCCATTTACTTCGTTAGACAGGAAAGATCTTTCTAATCTCTGGCAAATGATTTGGGGGGGAAGTAAAAGAGGGAAAGAGGAAAGAAGCTGAGAAAGATTCTACTAGAATGGTTGTGCATCCCATGTTCCTTATTACTATGTCATATCTTTCCGATTTGAATGCCTGGCTCAAATGGTTGTCAACATAACAAAAAAACTGGAAATATGTTTAACACTATAACTTAACTGTTAGTGCACTGACCACAGACAGCCATAGGGCCAATTCTTTATCATGGAATAAACATTATTTTTAAATACATATTGGCACTCCTAATCATAACTAGACATTGGAAAAATGATTTAGTCAAGAGACATAATGCAAAATACTGTGAATATCCAAATACAAAACCAATTCTTTCCTCCTCACAAATACTATCCTTCAGAACAAAACAATGCCTTTTATGTTTTTTATTTTAATTTTTTCAGAATGCCTTTTAAAAGTCTTTCCTATTTTAGGGTGATCTACATTACAGTATTTTATTTATTTATTTTTTAATTTTTTTTTTTTTTGAGTTGGAGTCTCACTCTGTCGTCCAGATTGGAGTGCAGTGGCTGCTCCTGGCCACCGCAGCCTCAACTTGCAGGGCTCCGGCGATCCTTCCACCTCAGCCTTCCAAGGAGCCGGAACTACAGGCGTGCGCTACCACGCCCGGCTAATTTTTTTTTTTTATTTATTGTAGAGATGAGGTCTCGCCAGGTTAGCCAGGCGGGTCTTGAACTCGCGGGCTCAGACAATCCACTCACCTCGGCCTTCCAAAGCACTGGATTACAGGCTAAGCCACCGAGCCCAGCTCAATTACAGTATTTTAGACAACAAAATACTATTTGGGAGAAACATGACAGCAAATTATAAGAATTTAGATAATATTTGTGAAGTTACTCCGAAAACATTAAAGTAACATAAATACTTAAGATATAATTATTAACTTGAGACTGTTTGTGGAGAGAGTCAGATATACAACAAAATGATAAAAATCAATATTCTAAAATGAAGACATGAAGCCAAAAGTTAAGATATCTACTTTAGAAAAATGACTTGTTACTGTGACAATATTTAGACTCTACTTACGTAAGAAATGTCCATGCATATAACAGGCAGTTTGTGTCCATACAGTGAGAGAAAAAACTAAACATTAAAAGAATATAATTAATGTCCATCTATAAATATAAAACACAGGTACAGTTTATAACATGTAGGTCTAAAATACAACTTTAAAATACAATATTAGACACATGTTTGGATTGCTTTATATCTGTATTTTCAAAGAAGACAATTAAAATGCTAAAGACAGCTTGTTAAGAATACCTGTGTCCACTACACAGACCTTACGTGCACTTGCCAAGAATACTGTGGAGGCAAGAAAACCCTCAGAAGCTAGCTGTCTCATTCAGAATATGGCAGAGATGGTCTCTGGAATTCTTGGCTGAATAGACTCTGGGCATTTGTTTCATGAAAATACTCCCAGGCCCAACCCAGTCCTATCAACTCTCTCGGTGCAGGGACCAGTAATATATATATTTTTAAAAGCAACCCAAATGATTCTGATGTACAGCTAAGTGTGAAATCACTCCCTAGACCACCTAGAAATGCCAATGCCTAGAATTTTCTGTCCACAAGGTTTTCTGAACATATGAAATATAACCTACTTTCAACAACATTCATAAATCATAAAATTCTTTTAAAACTCTAGCTTTCCTAGGGCACTTACAATGCTTTGATTCATACACAAATTTTTAGAAAGGTACTCCTGCTGAGCACAGTCAAGGCCACTTCTTTACAGACCCCAATTCTTAAGGCCAGTCAGAAAGAAAGAGTATATTTTCAGGCATAACTGCTATACCTTTAAAGTGTCAACATAGAAAATTTTCACAGTACAGTCTAGCAAGGACACAGCCAACAGCTTTTGATTGGGAGAGTAACTGACACACAGAACATCTTCATCTAGTTGCAAGGTTCGGGTTTGCTTCACAGAAAGTCTAGCAACACAGAAAACATCAAGAAAAGAGTAAAATGAGTACACCAAGGCAGGTAATTCTTAACTCTCCAGAACATGAAAGATAAATACATGTCAAAAGGTCATTCAATAGATCCCCATTTGCACTTCAAAAAAATGGACCCAAAAAATGTCTACTCACCTCTTTTGGGTACTATTTTCATCTTTTACCAACTCAAAATCCCAAAACTTGACAGATTTATCTGCACCACCTGTCACAAAGCCACGCTGAAAATTTCAATTAAAAACTATTTTAGCATAAAAATTTTGCTAAGATGATATATCAAAATAGCCTTAAAACACATTTTAATTTAATGGCATAAAATAAAAATTAACAAAAATATGGTTCTTCCTAACTCCTTACACTACTCTTTAGGTTCTTCTACTACAAACCATTTTTGAGAATTCCTACCTTAGACTAACACAGAGATGAAACTATGAAAAGTTCTAATTATACTCTTGTTAGCACCAGGAAGAAAAACCACTTAGTGAACATTGTGGGGCTTTCTGCTCCACCTAAAAAAGCAAACTTGTTCAACAAATACACACAGAATGGATAGTTATATTTGTTTAAAGTATTCACGTCAGAAGAATATAAATGTATTCCTGCAATGTCCCTGCTTAAAACATTTTTGAAACGTTTCCTGTATCCAGAAAATTAAACTCATTACATGGTAGTGTTATTGTAAAGTCTATAGAAGACAGAATCAGAAATCACCTGGATTTCAGGTGTTTAGCCTGCCATCTCAGAGATTATATAACACAAGAAACAACCTTTGCACAACCCTTAGTTTTATCAAAATAAAAGTCCATGTAGTTTATGGAAAAGACAGAACAATCTACAAATGAAAGATGTTGTTACTACTTTAAATTCACAGTTGTTTTGCTTGGACCCCAATGCCATTAATCAGTTTAGTTGTTTTCAAAAACTAAGATCTACTTTCAATGGATAAAAGTTTTCTGCCATTTCAAATAGTCAAATAAATGGGCCAATATTTCTTAATGTATTGTCTAAAAGTATCTCATAATGTTCTGAGCAATAGCACCATTACTAGTATTAGCATACACACAGTTCTCCAGGGTGACTCTTTTTGAAGGGGAGAGTACTTTTATTGCCTTTTAAGGGTTGACACATTTGCTAAAAATACTAGACTTACGCAGTCATGCTGTTTGAACAAAAAGGAGAACAGAAAAATCTACTCTACTCGCTGCATTTTGTTGTCCAAGAGAATATTTCCCCCTAAAAAATGATACAAACCATTGGCCAAAACAACCAAACAAACAAAAACCCATGAGTGTAACTTGATGTCATGATGCTGAGAACCAAGAGTAGCTGTGCAGGAATTCATTTCATAATGACGGCTATTCATATTACCAGGTATATAAGGCATCATATAGGAAGTCTAAAGATTAGACCAAAAAATGGGTTTTCTTTAAAGAAATTGTGAGAAACCCGTCTTAGCAGCAATGACACCTGGTATAAGAAGTGGGAAATGCAGCCAGAGGGCTGAAATCCAGAGCTGTAAAATCTAGTTTTATTACCTGGTCTGGAGAAAGAGACATGGACCATAAGGCTCCATCATGTGCATCTATTGTCTCCAGCAGATTCCCTGAGGCCAAGTCATAAAGCTGGAGCTTCCCTGTCTGGAAAGATACAAAACAGGCACAGCTCTAATGAGCATACTACAACCAACCTCCATGGTTCATGCCTGTACATTTAAGATTTCATAACCAAGCCGCAACATGTGATCTATCACTTAGGAAATGGATCCTACAGTCCAAGCTCTGTGTTTCCTATCTGATGAAATACTATCAAATCTCCTACCAACATAATGAGTTAACTTGGGCTGAGTGCTGCCATGGTGTACAAGTATGGAGTAGTACAACCTTGTAGTACTGAGTTTTTGTCACTTTCATTCATTCCACAATCTGAAAGGAAACTAACATGACCATAGGCAGGACAAATACAATAGAAAATGAAAACCTAAAAGCCTTTAAAGTTTAATCAATCTTTTAAGTAGACTATCCTCTTTAGCTACTGCCTTAATCAACTCTTCTCCATCTAGATTTGTTTTCCTTCTCTATAATATACTAACAAGGAGAGACAGAGTTCTACCTATAATACTACCTATAATGTACTAAAATAAACAGGCAAATAAAAATAAATCATAATGGCACAGCAATCACTCCATGATTCCTGTTTAGAGGTCAGTATATGCCATAATCATGGTACCCACATGTCACACACACTGGTAAAGCCTGCTCTACAATGAGCTTCTGCACAATGTGCTGCAAATAGTGTAAGTAAGAAGACTTGAATCCCAGGTCTGCCTCTTTCCAGCTTTGTGACCATTGGTGAATTCATCCCCATGAACCTATTTTTTCATCTGTGACATGGAGTTTATATCATCAATATATCTCTAAAATATTGTGAGGATTCATTATGATAAGGTATATTAACTCCCCAGTACAGACAGTAGGCCAGGCAATGCATTTTAGTCATAAAAGTAGTCTTCAAAATAATTTGCAAACCACTGTCCCAACAGTAAACTATAGGTGGACATTTGCTGAAGGAATGAATGAAAATGGGACAAACTATTAAGTGAAATGTTAGTACTATTTCCCTGACATTGACCCTAAAATTTCTCCAGCATGTGAAATTTTTTGTTAGGCAAAAAAATATCCAGTGTGATATATCAATTTTTAAATAAAACAAATGCACATATGGCATTGGTTTACAGGGATAATAATGACAAGTAATTACAAAGCACTTTTCCAAACATTTCACAGATCTTATTCCTTTTTATTCTCACCATCACTACCACCACTACTGATACTTCTAATCCCAGATCTATTATCTACTAGTGACTTATTGTAGGCCAGTCTCTGGGCCAAGTGTTTCGCATACTTCATCCTTGTGAAGTCAATTAGCATCGTTTTATGAGAAAACCAAGGTTAACAGAAATAAAGTAACTTGCCCAAAGGTCACAAAGCTAATAAGTGACAGAGTCCGGACTCAAGTAGGTCCATTTGGTGCAAAAGTTGCAGTCAAAAGTGTCATCGTCCCATTATGTTGATGCAGAAACACACTATGAGAAGCTATGTGACTTGCTCCAAATTACCCATTTCCTAAAGGGGAGACTAAATCCAAGTCCATGTCTGCTTATTCCCACGTGGTTGTCTCTCAACCTTACTAGCATTTAGGAATGAGGACTTGGTCATTTTGGCTTTATTGAATGCTTCTATCTGCCAAGCACGATGCTAGGTGCTTAATGTATTTTACTATTAATCTTAAAATATTTTATCATAAATTAAAACACAATTACATACGTGCTCAAAAAATAATGCATGAAAGGATGATCACCAGAATGCTCATGGCATTTATCTTTGGGTCATGATTTTAATTTTCTTCTTCATAATTTGAAATATGATTTCTTTGACAAATAAAATAAATCTTAAAAACAGAAAAATCAAGGACACTGGGAGGCCAAGGTGAGACAGTTGCTTGAGCCCAGGAGTTCAAGACCAGCCTAGGCAACATAGTGAGATCTTGTCTCTACAAAAAAATTAGCCAGGTGTGGTGGCACACACCTGTAGTCCTCCTACTCAGGAGGAGTAAGGTAGGAAGATCACCTGAGCCCAAAAGGTTGAGGATGCAGTAAGCTGTGACAATGCCACTGCCCTCCAGCATGGGCAACAGATGGAGACCCCAACTCAAAACACACACACACACACACACACACACACACGTAAATGAACTAACAACATCCTTCCATATTACCTAGCTCTAATACATTTCCAATATGCTAAAAAAAATAGTAACCAGATTTCTCAAACAACTTTAAGGATGTTAAATAGAAAAGTCCCAGAAATCCACAAAAGTCTCAATTTACCTTTGTTCCTATGATCACCTGCCTATCACCAGGTACAAAGAATGAGCAAAGTGCATATTCACAGGTCATCGTGCGAATACACTGCAGTGTAGACCTATGAGAAAGAAGGAATAAAGAACTCATATGTTAAGAAAACATGCTTCCTCACCTTAGAGGTCAATGTGTATGTTTCAATACACACTCAGCCACACAGTAATGAGCAAAAAAGAAGATAAAAGTCTCAAAAACTCTTGGCACAGACCCAATCAAAACATTAAATAGCACCAAACTTGATTTTCTTTGGAGGCACCTTCTAATGCTAAGGAACAGAGATTATACAAAAGCAGGATAGAGAAAATAGCTGCTTAAAGGGAAAGTGTAAAAGAGTCATCTGGGAAAGAATGATGAGAAATTGGGGAAAATTACTGGACAGCACTAAGCGTCTACTATTTTAAAGATTTAAAGAGCAGACAGTAGTAAGCTCCAGGCACAAAATAAGCTGACATTTTTTTGCACCACTTAAAAAGGTAACTTTTCTACTCTAAGCACCACAGGCAAATGGCTAAAATGCACCGAAGAAACAGTTTTAAAAGAACTGCATTCAGGACCTTAAGAAGCTAATAACTAATCATCGGGAGTACCAAAAGAAATAATTCAAGGGAAAAAAATTACTACTGGATAAAGCTATAGGAAACATCATTTCACAAACCTGTTCCATATCTTAACAGAATCAGCTGCTGCCGACAGGACAGCAATGTTGTCTGAGCTGAATGACAAAGTCCTCACATCACTGCGATGACCTCCCATGGTGATTCTGCTTGTCCTGACAGGCTGAGGAGTAGGCAAGGATGAATTCAGTGAATATAATTCCACCAGGTTGTTTTGCAGCAGGAAGACAGCCTTTAATTCTCCTTGAGGTGAATGAATCAAGTCAAAGGATCTGCATGAGAAAATAATCATAAAGGTTCTAATTGTAACCATCTTAGCTCAAAAAATGAACTTTTTCCAGGAAAAAGTTTTACAGTGTCCTCAACCTATATGAAGTTTAAATAAGTATAAAGGATTTTACAAATAAGAGTGCTCTAAATGTGGAGTAGTAGTTGAGCATAGACTTCTAAGGAAAAAAAAAAAAAGAAGCCTGAGCTGAGATCCTGGTATATGTACCTTGTTTTTGTGTATGTAAATTTTACAAGTGACTTTATATCCTTTCTGAACATGAGATATACATTTTTTTAAAAAACTGGCAGTAGGAAAGGACAGTAAGTGAGTAGCTAAAATGTTACCAGAATAATCAAAATACAAGATAACAGGTAGGCCCGTGGAAAGGGCAATGGGAGCAGAGACACAGGTCTCATGATCACTTTTCCAAACATAGAATTCATGCAGACATCTAACAAATAGCATGAAAAAGCCAAGAATACTTTGTAGCTTGCAATCTCTATGATAAACTCAGATAATTTACTTTATACTCACTTGATTTTGGCAGAAGTTTTGACATTAGTCACCCGCTGGATTTCATCTTGCAGAGTCATTTCCACATTGATTTCAAGGTCCTCCTTGTCCCCTTTGCAAGAATTTAATCTACAGGGAAGAAAAAAAGAGTATCATGTCATAACCTATCTTGAAGCATTTTTGCTCTTACTTGAATTCAAAATCTGGCCCCACGGACCAACAAGCTGTGTGATTCTGGGAAAGTCACGTAACCACAGAGGATTTCCATGAGAATTAAACAATGCAGTATGCAGAACTGCTTTGTGAACTACAATGTCGTGAAGTATTATTTCACTTAATAGGTACCCATAAGAAATGGATTTTGAATGCAATAACCCATAAAATTTCCTGGAACTAGTCTTTGTAATTCAAATTGTTCCACTAAAATGTTGCCAGTATACTTTTCTAACTTCAGGACTTTTTAGAAAACTCAACCTACACTTAACAATCCAATCATGTCAAATAAATCAGGGTAGGTCTCAAAAGAATTGCCATTGATGACTTTTAATTGCTTTGAGACTTGATAAACTTGGATTACTACTACCCCACAAATTCTTCTCTGGATTTTAACAGTAATTGGTAATAGAGTAAATATTACCTTAAAGAAGGCAATTTTTCTCAGTAATATGTGGCCCACCAGTATATGTCATTATTAAGAAATATTATGAAAACACACTTTGCTTTCTTTTTAGCTTTCTTCAGCTTCTTATCCATTTTCTTCTGAATTTCCTCTTTGGAAAGAATACAAAATACTTCTAGCACAGAATCAGTTCCCTAGAAAGGCAAAAGTTTGATATGAGTCCATAAGAGGCAACTGGTAATTTAGCTTATTCTTAGGAAGAACAGAACAGTAACATTTTTTTTTTCCTTACTAGTCTCAGGGCTTGTCTCAGGATACCAGTTCCTACTTACAGCATTGAGCATTGCCCTGAAGACTAAACAAGAAGTTAAATGCTGCTATTTTTTTTTTTTTTTTTTGAGTTGGAGTCTCACTCTGTCGCACAGACTGGAGTCCAGTGGCCGCTCCCAGTCACCGCAGCCTCGACCTGCTGGGCTCCGGGGACCCTTCCGCCTCAGCCTTCCGAGTAGCCAGAATTACAAGCGCGCACTACCACACCCGGTTAATTTTTTGATTGATTGTAGAGATGAGGTCTCGCCTGTCCAGGTGGGTCTCGAACCCGCGGCTCAGGCAATCCACTCACCTCAGCCTCCCAAAGGCGCGGGATTACAGGCTGAGCCACCGAGTCCGGCTGTTAAATGCTTTAAATTGCTTAGAAAAACCAACATTTAAATGATTACTAATAATAAGAATACAATTTTTATTACTGTTGTTATGCTAACAGAAGCTAGGGATTATAGGTCCACAGCATACCAAATAATGAATTATTAACAAGATTAACCTCTACACTGAATATGAAAGAATGAGTGCCTGAAAGGAACAGCTTTGTCGTTCTCTCCTAAGCCTGGTACTCACATGGCAAGCAAGAATCCTGCCTGTCTTGTCCACTGTAAGGTTCACAACTCTGTCTCTACCTTCCCGCATTATGGAACCAGCTTTTCTGCATGAAAGGATGCGCTGCAGAAGAAGAGAAGATGAAGGCTAAATATAAGTTCTGCTAAACTTCTGAAAAGATGCAATTATAAATAATGCAGATGACAAAAATATTCCCTAAAATGATCATGAGAATTGCAAATTTAAACATCTGCAATTCCCTCTTTTCTCACTACTCAATTCAATTAAAGATAAGAAACAAAAAATTACATCCTCAGGAGCTTCATCCACCTCAAGAGTAAGAGTACCATCCTCTGCTTCAAGAGTGTCCTGTACTGTAAGAGAAGACCCTCTGATTTTCTTGAGCTCTGGTTCTTCCAGGTCTTCAATCTGTTTTACAATGGGAAAGTAATAGCTGAAATAATGTGTTCCAGGAGGTGACTCTCAACCCTCATGACTCAGAAACCTTTCATATGGCCACAAGTAGCTTTCCATCAGTGATCTCTGATCAAACCTATTCGATGGCAGAACAAGTATCAGAATGTACTAAAAACTGACTACATCTTATGCAAACAAAACATCCATTATACTTTCTCCAATAATTTTCTATAGTATAGGGACAACTGTTTAGTGATAACAGCAAAAAAAAAAAAAAAAATGACCCACTCTTATTTAACTTCACTATTTCCTCTGTTCTTAGGTGAAAGATCTGCTATATTCTAGCAAAAAAGATTCAAATTGGCATTCAAAATTGCAAAAGCATTGCAGGTCAGATTACATTTTCTCCTTAAATAACGAAAAGATAAATCTTGGCCTACTAATCTAGAACCCATCAAAATGGCTACTGAACACAACCACACACACCTAAACCAGCTAAACCTAAGGTCCACAACCTTTTTCTACACAAATTCTTTTGAGTAGCTGAGAAAAAGTTATGGATAGTCTCAAAAAAAATAAAATAAAATAAAATATATATAGATAGATAGATATAGATATGTAAAACCACACATATATTCTACATAGATTTTTTTAGGGAAAAGGTTCACAGATACTCTGAATTCCATTTGTGGACACCCTAAAGTCCAGGAATGTCAGGCTAAGAATGTCATAAACTAAAATATTAGCATTACCAGAAGCTGTAAGCCTAAAGTTATCCTCCTTCTGAGCGCAAATACATGAGGGCAATGAACATACAAAGGAGGACGGGGGAAAAAAAAACACAGAATTATCTTTTGGAGGACACGTCCGTTATAGTACACTTGGAATTTTTCCTCTGGATCAAATGGTCAATGAAAGTGTTTATCTGGAAGTTTTGAGAAGGTTGCATCACAATTTGCGGAAGAAACATCCCATGTTGTAGCAAACAGGTGGCAGGTTCTTCCATTATGAAAACACATCTGCCTACAATACGCTGAGTGTTCAGCCATTTCTGACCAAAAGCAACATGACCCCTGCTATTCACCTGATCTTGCCCTGAGTGACTTTTTTTTTTAGGATCCCCCGGAAGAAAAACGTCCTCAAAGGGAAACGTTTTGCTGATGTGCAAGAGGTAGAACAAAAAACAGTAGAAGCACTAAAAGGCATCAGAACTGATAAGTTCAAAAATTATTCTGAGAAATGGAAAAAGCATCTTTATAGGTACACTGCATCAAACATAGAGTACTTTGAAGGTGACTGAAGTCTAAACATGTAAGAATAAATACACAATTTTTTAATAAAAAACTCTGGGTTTTTTTTGGTCTCCTGTTGTATCATAAAAAAAACTGTTTAGAAGTTGAAGGTTATTAATGTGATAGAATTCCTCTAATACCATGTGAAGAATTCAATAATTACAACTGATTCTAAATCCAATGAGTCTACAAAACTGCTAAAACATAATATTGCCCATGATCCATAAAAAGTGATTACCTCTTGCAGATAGGCTATGTCCCAAGCCCTTAGTTCACTGTCCGAGGCCCCAGTGATGAGTCGCTTTTCTTCTGACACAAGAACCAACCCCCATACCTAAAGGGTTTAAAGATTAGAAAAATATGATTTTTAAGAGCTCCAAGACTGCATAATGTGACATACCAAAGTTTAAGTACACTGCAGTGAAATCTCTCTGGCATTTCAATATAAAAGAAAAGGCACATTAAGGCAATCCTTTCAATATGTACTAAAACAAATATCATTTTTACAGAGAAAAAAAAAAGGCCTATGGTGAAATTGTTGCTTATGCAATACTAAAAGTTTCTAACTTCTCTTCATCAAATTTAGATAATGGCTGTTCAGCATAAATCCTAACTAGAATCTACTAATGTATAACCACATCATGTAAAATGACAATTTTAAGTCTTCTATTTCTTTGCTTTCAGCAGTGTTCAGTAAATTTAAAAATGCCCCATTGATGTCTACTGCACAATTTTCACGTCCAACTATCTAGAAATTAATCAATGGAAACAATATTGCTGCAAATCAATTTAATCAAGAATTTATTTTTTTCTTCTCATTTAATTCCAGGCATTACGCTTGTCAGAGCCTGGCATGAACAAGGCACTGATATAAAGGTGTGTAAAACAGGTCCTGAACCCAACTGAATAGTTCTGTGTTCAGAAAACTCTCAACAGTCATAATTTGCTATTTATGTGTCACTGAGCCAGACACTTTAAAGGCAGCATGCATCATTAAACTTCTCTACAATATAAAGATGGCCATTTACTATTTTAAATGATAAAACTCATGGATTAAAAACTATCCAAGGCCAATTTTTACTAAATCTCAGAGCAGCTCCATCTGCTCCAATGGCTGGCATTGCTTCCTCCAATATACTGACAGTATATGATTACCGTAAGCAGTAAAGCTGAAGAGTCATTACAGAGTCAGAGAAGAAACCACCTTTTCCCTTTTGTCTTGCCATTCTTCCCCTGGACCCAGAACCCTACATGCTGTACCTCAGTTCGATGGCCAACCATTGTTTTGAAGCAGTGCTGGGTATCAAGGTCCCACCATTTCACCACAGTATCTTTCCCACTAAAAGAAGAAATAGGAAAAAAAAAACTTAATTAGGAAGAATTGTTCAGCTAATAGAAAGATCAAGGGCTAATCTGTTGTTTTAAAAAGAATGATGTATAGTAATAATGTCTAAAGTTGCTATTCTACCTGACTTTTCTTTTGAAAAGCAAAGAATCCTAACTCTCAACGTGGTTGTTCTCATGTAGAAAATAGCATGTTTCACTTATAAGCACAAAATGACTTTGAATACAGAGTATTAAAGAACACAGAACTTGATCCATCATGCCACTTTCCTCCCTCATTTCCCTTACACTATCTAACATGGAAACAACTTAGACCTCTCCCACTCCCTGTCTCCATGTCCAGTTAGTCTCAAAGTCCTGAAAATGCCCACTCTGTGAAGTTTCTAGGTGTTGACTCCCTCTGATGCTTTCCTGTACACAAATCTGAATTTGCTCCTACTACCTGGATTATTTCAGCAGCTTCTCATCTGGTCTCTTTGTCCCTTCCTGCTCTCTCATCCCATTCAATACATTACTCTCAGATCCTCAATTTTTAAAGCGTACACTAGCTCATTGTTCTCTGTAGACTCAATCAGGTGCTTTCACGCTATTCTCAAAACCTCCCATTAATTGTTCTTACCCCCAATACAATCCCTGCCTGTCAATGGCCTCTGTTATTCCCACTCAAATGCCTCTTCCCCATCTCTTCACCAACAAAAATCGAATACATTCCTCCTTCAGCGACCAAACAGGAACAAAACAAAAAACACCTCCTCAAAGCTGATTTACAAAGTCCATGCCCTATAACTCCACCAAACAGTGGTATTTCTTTCCCTTTAGATTCCCTAAACTTTAACCCATATGTTTTTTCTGTTAGAAGTGCAGAATCATTCTCTCACTGAATCTGTTATCTGAACAAAACATACTAACATACCCACGTCCTACCCCAGAAGACCAAATCCACCACTGGCACAGCACTGAGTGCTTCTTCACAACTTCTTCTGAGCCATTACTATAGTTCCTGTAATTACTGCCTGGTAAACCTTAGGATCCCAGCCTTTCCTAGGTGGCCATTCCTTAGAAGAATAATTATTATATCAGGTCGAATCGTGAAATTGTTAACATTTGGTCCTTTCCACGAATGGAAATTTCAAATGGTTCAACCTAACAGATGTTCAGAAGCCTATGAAGTATACAGTACATCACTCCTCAAAAGGCAGGCTAAAGTAAATGCCTGGTAATCCTTCCTATCTGCCCACTGCTCCATATTCTGCTTCCCTTACTTTCTAGGGGTCCAGAAGGTAGACAGATTTTATTCTATAAAGGGTGTATCAAAAGGCTTATAAACATGGAAAAATTGGTTATCAGGAAAAAAGAATGACAAATCCAAAAAGGGAACTTAAAAATGCTATAAGTAACTCTGGATAGCTCTGAGACTATTTGGGAAAGGTAGAAAGGAGAAAGGAAAGCAAGAGAGGAAGCTAGCACATGAGCATGAGCATAATACAGATAAATGAGTAAGGAATGGAGCAAATTCCTTCTTCAAACCCCTCTCCAATGAATGCACCTAGTAAATACTTGGAAACGAAAATGGCTATTTCTTTACCTAGTAACTAGCAGGTTCTTTTCTCGAAGAAACAATGCTTGTGTGATGGCATCCTTGTGCCCCTTCAGACGATAGAGGCCACTTTCATTGATTACATCCCACACAATAACATCTGTGTCCTAAAAGGATCAAATAATTCAGAAGAAAAATAAGGCCTAACTTGACAGACAATGGGATTTAATTGTTACAAAGGCCATACACAGTCCTTGTGGAAAATCTGGAAAAAATCTGGAAAGCATACACAAAGTAGAGAAGAACAAATATCAGCCTTACCACCACCACTGAGGAAAAATCACCTGACACTGTTTTATATTGTTCTAGTCTTTATGTATATACCCAGGTTGTTATTTTCCTACTAGAAAGCTGAGATCATGCTATTCAAGCCCTTTTATAACCTTTTTTCATTTAATATTATTTGTTTTTCCATGTCATTCAGAGTGTTTTAATACTAATGTAATACTCAAGTCTAAGGCTAAACCATAATTAATCTAAAATTTTTTCCTATTTTAGACATCTAGGCAGTTTCCAATTTTTTGCTACTACAAATATGCAGAAATGAACATTCTTGTATATAATCTTTACACACATACCTGATTAGAATAAATACTAAAATGGTAAGTTCTAGGTTAAAAAATGTATGTTTAAAGTTTTTGATACACAAAATAAAAATGATCTCCAAATTGGGTAACTCTGTAGAACCACTAGGGATATTTATAGGAAGGCCTGTTTTTCTATTGCTTAACAATGGGTATTATCAGTTTTCTCAAAAACCAATGCCAATTTCACACATAAAAAATGTTTAGTCTCAAAATTCATTTTAATGTACATTAATGAATACTAATGAGAAATATTTTTCATGCTCTACAGTGATTACTGGCCTTCTGTATCTCTTTTGAATTGTCAATTTATGTCTTTTGTCTATCTTTTTTTGGTTGTCATCTTTTACTTGACTGAAAGTTATTAACAGATTAATGATATCAATTCTTTTTATACTGAAAATATTAAATGTTTTTCCTTTTACATTGTCCTTTGACTTTTTTTAAATGTGCAAATGTTTTAAATTTAAGTATTCAAATGTATTACTCATCCTTTATAATATCTTTCCTTGCTAATACAAAGTTCTTTTCCACCTTGATAACAGATTAATATTTACTTACATTTTTCCTAGTTTACTTTAAATGCTACTTTTAAATAGTTAAATCTTTAATCTGGGACTCCTTTTGGTATGATGGCTTGAGGTAAATCTTTAACTTAAAGTTTTCCCCCAAATAGTCAGTCAATTGTCTAAGGACTACTTTATAAGTAATCCATCATTTTTCAACTTATCTGAAATGCTATCTTTAAAATATACTTATTAGGAATATAAAAGTAGATTTGTTTCTGAGATTTCCATTTGGTTGCAAAAATCGATTTTGCATTTGTACTGCATCAATGATACTGCAAAAAATTATGGGTTTATAATACATTTTAATATCTAAAGTCCCATTTTGTTAGTCTTCTTTCCCCAAACTTATGTGTTTCCAATTCATTCATTTTTCTTTATGTTCTTTTAAGTCATTTGGTCAAGTTGTAACAACAACAAAAACCTTTGGGTGTCTACTTAAATTGTTTTAGCTATGCAAATTAATTAGAAAACACAACATATTTTCAATACCTTGTCTTACCATTCAAGAACATGGACTGTACCTCCATAAAAGTCTTCTATTATCTTCTTCAGTAAAGTCTGATAGCATTTTAAAATTTTTGTTACTTTTCTATTGTAAATGAAATCTTTTACATTACATTTTCTAATTCATGATTTTTGAGATACAGGAAAGCTACTGGTTTAACAAACTCAATGGCAAATAATTATCACTCTGTCTCTTCTTTTCCAGTCTGTTTTCTTTCCTTGTTGTATTGTTTTGTGTAGCGCTTCCACAATAATTTTCTATACTAGTTACCAGGAGCATTGCCATCTTGGTCTTCTACTTAATAGACTTTTATCAGAAAACATGACAGGAAACAACACAAACCTCTCAATTCACACCTATCCTTCTCACTCTTTCTGCATCTACACTATTTTGAACACTGGGCACCCATTGATTCCCCAACAATTTTGGGGAACAGACTGCTTCAGCATGAGCCTTACATTCCCAATATCTCAAAGTCTTGGCCCCAGATTCAAAGTCTCACCTTTGACCCAGAAGCCAGTCTGCCCCCCAGCTGATCAAACCTCAAGGCAGTGATAGCTGCTTTGTGTCCATTGAAGGTCACATTTCCTTCCCCACTCAGGAGACTAAAGATTCGTATAGAACCATCTTCATAACCAACACCCAAGTGCAGCCCATCTGGGGAGGGGCACAAGCAAGTGACTTCTTGTTTAAGACCCTGCAGGATAAGGATCTGAAATCATAGAAATAAAAAACAGAGGAGTTAAGCAAGCAATCAAGAGAAAAGTGTGGGAATAATCAGGCACAGTAAATTAACAGCATCAGTCATTCCAAATCACTCGTATGAAACACAATGAAACTCTACAATCCATCTCAAGTTTTTAATGTAGGAACTATTATTTGTACTACTAATGAAATATTCAAGAAAGGATACAATTATTTTCTTCAAAACTCTACATTGGCATAGTACATTAAAAGTTCCCCAGGTAACAGAATAAATTACTAAGTTTTTATCCTAGGCCAACACTAAATGATTTTCAATAAAGGGTTATAAGTCCATTTGTTCTTCAACTGAGAAGCACTTTATAAGAAACCAATCTGTACAGCCATATTGTGCTTTTAACCCCAAGTGACTCTGGGTAGAAAAATGAATCAAAGGAGCAACCTCTTGGGAGTCACAAAATGAATGGACAAGATCAAAATGCCTATATTTGCTTTGGCAGAAGTGAAATTCATAGTCACACAAAGCATCAAAGCCTAGAGTAACAACCCTTGGGCCTCATCTATATAAGTTAAGAAAAAGATTGTCAACACAGAGTAATACTTCTTTAATACCTAATATTTTATAACTAGCTATGAAGATAAGTAGAATGACTTGAAAAGCAAAGAAAAAATAAATTAGTCATAAACAGTGACCTACAAATACTCCTACAAATCTAAGAAACAAGCTCCTTTTTGGTTGTAGTTTTCAGGATTTAGTGGAGAACGGAAAGGAACTTGATGCTTGGCTATCTAGTCCCCAAGGAAAAAGACTTCTAAGGGCACACAAAAACTCATGATAAGTAAATCAGAGCTCTCCCACTTTTACCTCTCCATCCTCAAATACCCATCAATCAGCATCAAACTGGGCAATTTTTTGGCTCACCTTCTCTCCTTTCCTTAAGTCCCAGATGAAAACATGTTCACAGGCCGGTACTGCCACATAGCGTCCTTTCTCACCACGAAGCGTCACAAAGACAATATTACCTTTTTGGCTGCCAATCAGGCCAAAGACCGCACTAGCAGCATAGCGTAGGTACTGCTTGGTAAGCCCCATGTTATGTTTGATTCCACAGGTGAGGCAATCTGTGCATATAAACAAAGAAAACTCAGTTCCTTGGGTGCCTTGGGTTTTTTTGTTCGTTTGTTTTTGTTTTTTTGACTCAGGGTCACTTTGTCGCCCAGGCTGGAGTGTAGTGGCATGCTCACAGTCACTGCAGTCTTAACCTGCTGGGCTTAGGTGGTCCTTTCACCTCAGTCTCCCAAGTAGCTGGGACTACAGGCGTGTCCACCATGCCTGGCTAATTATTTGATTTATTGTAGAGAAAAGGTCTCAGCAAGTTGCCCAGGCTGGTCTCAAACCCTAGGGCTCAGGCAATTCTCTCACCTCCGTCTCCCAAAGTGCTGGGATTACAGGTGTGAGCCACCATGCCCAGCCTACCTTGGTTCTACCAGGCTAGCAAACACCAACTATTTGTCAGGTGGTTAAAAGTACATAACTTGTGACTTCTTTTTATTTTATTTTGAATCCGAGTTTCACTGTCACCCAGTCTGGAGTAGTGCAGTGGCACAATCATGGCTCACTGCAGCCTTAACCTCCCGGGCTCAGGCGATCCTTTCACCTCAGCCTCCTGAGTAGCTAGGACTACAGATGCATACCATGCCTGGATAATTAGTGTCTTCTTAATCTTTATTTACTCTGAATAAGTCATTGACTTAAAATACCTGGACATATTCGTTGACTTAAAATGTAATCCTTCAAGCCGGGCTCGGTGGCTCAGCCTGTAATCCCGTGCCTTTGGGAGGCTGAGGTGAG